AGGGATGCCGAAACGTTTGCATGTTACTGTACATAAAAATGGGTTTGGTAGGCTGTTGGGAGGTATGATGGTGCATTTTTCCTTTCACATGAACTCATCTTATCTAAAGAAATAAATATACAGCATTGAGTGTCAATGGCCTGCTGCTACTAACCACACATGGCAGGCCTGATACTTCAGTAGATAGGCACTCCGTCTCTATTCTCATTCTTATATCCATCTCAGATAGTCAGGTGTACATTTTGGGCCGATTCCAGGTTCCTGGAGTCAGCGTTTTGTGTGCTTTTGGTTAGCAGCCAGGAGGTTTTACCCCACTGTGTTAGCACACCTCTGATCTCAGTCCTAGCTGTCCTGATTTCAGCTAAGATGTCTGGATCCAGTGTTACCTGCAGTGACATGACTGTGATCCTGTGGGTCCCAGTTCAGGGCCCTTCATACTAAAATAACCTTCAATTAATTATAAAGTGACAATGTATTTACAGGTTTTTGCACTGCTGCTATGTCTTAACTTAGTTGTTGTTCTAATGTAGGCTATTATTATTATTATTATTATTATTATTATCATTATTATTATTATTAGCCTACTATGGTTAGCCGTGAGCAAGCAGTGGTAAGCAGTGACGTAAAGGGTTCAAGATGTTAGTGAGGACCAATCGCTATGGGCCTCCTGTGCTACAGGCCCTGGTGTGATTGCTCCAAATGCACTGCTGGTATTTACACCACTGTCTACCTAGCACATTATAGTAGTCCACCTTTTTCAGTAGATGTAGCCCACCTACAGTATGTGTAAAAGTCAGAGACCATCCTTTTGTTTGTTTAAATTCAGTCAAATGGCCATTAAGTAGAAGTTAGTCTTTCTTAGTGTCGGGAAAAAAGCTGAAAACATATATTTAAAAGTGAACCACTCAGAAGCCTCAACAACTAAATATAATATCATATATTTCAGTATTTATTGTCTCACTCTTTATCTTTATTACAGCTTCCATTCTTTTCAAGAGACTCACTTTCAGTGTTTCAGAGAAATCTGCAGGGATATTTTTCACACCTCCAAAGTTCAGTCTTAGAAGTTGGTTGCATTTTCTGCTTTTCACCATCCAAATAATCGCAAACACACTCAGTGATGTTGAGGTCTGGACTCTGGGGTGGTCAGTCCATTGTTTTGAGAAACACCAGCAGCTTCTTTGTTTGATGTGTCTCCTTTTCTCAGTAAGAGCTTCTTAACAGCTACACATCCTTTCAGACTCATAGTGCTGAGTGTCTCACAGTGGAAGGATGGACAGAAACTCCTGTGGATGTTTTCAGATCTGAATCCAGAGTGGAGCTTGATTTTCTCCTCTTTATGAAAGATGAGTGCTGTTTATCTGATGAGGACAGTTCTGGTGGTCTACCAGATCTTACATGGTTGTTAGGAGGTCAGTTTTATCTAAATCTTTTACATACAAACAATGTAAAATAGTTTTGAAAACTCCTGTTTTTTCACTTATTGTTGAGTTTCTCCTTCCTTATGCAAGTGGATTGTCTTCTATCTAATCTCTAATAACTTGTACTTAATAGCCATTTGACTGGATTTGATTGGAGGATGATCTCAGACTTTTGCACAGTACTGTACATGATTGATCTCTGTTCATCATCCTGAATACATCTAAAACATCTTAATGAAGCTAATTATTCTAATGTAGATTTCGTATCATTGAATGCCACCAATTCTAAACTTTTAAAGTGTAGTGTGCATTTATCCAAACATGGATGTGAATGTCTGACCCTTTGTCTGATCTGTCTTGCAAATAGAAGAAATCATGATAAAACTTCATGAAATTGAGGCTAGCATGTTCCCTGCTGCTCTGTTTGCTCATTATTATCCTCTATAATGAGCCCAGTAGGACTCCTCTAATAGAATTAAACCCAGAAGTGTCCAACTGAGTGATCCAGGCTTAGCTCCTCCAATGCCAGGCTAGCTTTCCTCTGCCCATTGACGCAACCTAACTAGCAGCTAATTAATGGGATTTGGCGTATCGTGGGACGGGTTAGAGGAGGAGAAGGAGGTTAGATAAGAAGGGATGAGACGGAGGTTGTCTGTTGTGAATGGAGGACTTGACAGCACTGAATGAGTCTACGGTGATCAAGAGACACTCTGAACGGCTCTAAAGCTGAACTTGTTTAAGGCATCATCAACTCAAGGACTCAACGTTAATCTGGACAACTTCTCTCTACTGGAGGTACCACTGATGTCCCAGGTCCATCGGCAACCTCAAACCGGGAACTCTGATGTAGCTTTCAGAACATTGGACCAACATTGTCTCAACTGGACTCCTTGACACATCACCATTAGCTTGCAGACCGGTACTGGAATACATTGACCGAAGCTAGGAGGATCCATGGAGCCAATCACGCAGGTTGTGTCCGGCGCAGAGGGTTCATTCCCCCGAAAGGTTCTAAAAGCTGCCCCACGTGGAGCTTCCACACACTTCGTGGGCAGCACCATCGTCATCTTGTCCTCCTACGCCGTGGCTACACTAGCCATGAACTGCGGGAAGAAGCTTCAGGAGCAAAGACTGAAGCCTGAACCCAGTTAATGTCTACAAGACTGGACTTCATTAAACTGGACTGGGTACAGCTGTGGAATACCATCATGGACAGCCTTGTATTTATGTGTTTTCCTTGTAATTTGAATGCACATCTACGAGGACAAAACTATGGACCAATTCAGCTAAAGCTGTTTTTAGCTGTGCAATTTACTATTGTTCATAGTTATAGATCACAGTATGTCACATAGTGTCAGAAACCACAAGTCTGTTTGAGATTACTTAACAACTCAGTGCAATTTGAGGCAAGTGTGTGATAATTGTGACATTTGCACATTGCTAATTGTTATTAGCCTCCATTGCTTGTAAGCTAAATTAGCCTTGTAGCTCCAGTGCAAAACATAAGAACCAAACAGAAGACACCCTACTGAAAAAACAAAACAGCACAGGCCAGCATGCACTTCATGCTGGTCTAAACTGGTTTATGCTGGTCTACTGCTGGTTAGGCTGGTTAGCCAGCATGGTTATACTGGTTGACCAGCATACCAGCATCCAAAACACAACATATGCTGTTGTCGGAAGAAAACCTCGTTCTCCATTTTTCAGTTTTCGTCAAGATTTAAAAACACCTGTTGCCCTTTACATTGTGTGTAAATTTCATGATGAATGGACTAAAAGAAACGGCCCAAAATGACACAGAAAAATGTCTGGTTTCATTGACTTACATTAAAAGTAAAGCATGTTTTTTCCTTCTCCTGTAAAGTTACCATTTTGGAGATACAAGGTTTTCTTCCGACAACAGCGATATGCTGGTTTTGCTGGTGAGCAGAAATGCTGGTTAAGCTGTTTAAGCTTTAGAAAACCAGACACAGTCACTCACCTGTAAACAGTGATGGAAACCTTGTTTTAAAAACAGTGCTAATGTTATCCACCAATGCTAATATAGCTAATACTGAGAGAAAACTGGAAGACATCTGTTAGCGCTATGCAAATTGGGTCATGCTAGCCATTCCCCACTAGCTTTAATTTGAAAAAACTATTGATCTAGCAGTGTGTGTGGAGATGCAGTGAGTCTGTTGGTTGTTTTTGTCTGATACACTGTCAAATGTGAAATATGTAGTTGATATATTGCTTCAGACATGTAGACCATTGTTGCTTATTATTGTTTAGACCACGACTGTAGAATTTAAAGAGCTGTCTGTGTGTTCTAGTATATAATGACTGCTGTGTGATAATAAAGAATTAAGTTATTTTGATTGAAGTGCATCTTTTAATGAAGTTGACACTGTGCATAAATGTTGAAAATGACTCAGCCAGGTTACAGTGACAAAATATTAGCTGTATCTATTGAAGTCTGACAAATAGTGATAGAATAGAATAGAATAGAATAGAATAGAATAGAATAGAAACCCAACACTAGATGTATTCAGTTATTAAATGCAAGGAAATTAAATTCCATAGTTTACAAATGAGTTATCTAACGTAAAGACTGCATATACAGGTAAGGTAATGTATTCATTATGTTTTCAACAGGGGGCAGTTTGTGTTTGGAATATTCTTCGATGTAGGTGTGTTTATATCTCAGATACAGCTTTTTTATAGTTTTACTTTACTTTTATTTAGATTAATGTTAGAATGTGATGGTTGAAGATACATTAGAAATGTGTATGAAAGGTGAATATTAACCTGAAGAAAGTCTTCTGGGCATGAATTGTCTAAACTCACCACTATATAAATGCATCAGGTTTGCCTAAAGCCTCATTAAAAATGTGTGATTGTGTGATAGTGATTGATTGATTATTTATAATATATATGTGTACAGGCCACTTATAGTGTTCTTTATTAATCTGCCTGGTGTACTCTACTTGTACTATGTCTGGATTTGAAATAAACTATATATAAACACGTAATGTATAATAATAATAATAATAATAATAATAATAGCAAATAGTATTGTACTATGTCTGGATTTAAAATAAACAAAATAATCTGGGATTTTATCCAGATTAAGCAGTTTAAGATAATGGTGATAATAATAATAATAATAATAATAATAATAATAATAATAATATCTGGATCTGAAGAAGCAAAAAAAATACAGGGCCTGGGAATTTAATAATTAATGACTTATAAAGCTAATTTATTTTGTGAAGAATGATTTAAGAACATAAAATATAAAAATAATAAGATAATCATTTTTTACTATATATATATATATATATATATATATTATATTATATATATAAATAGTTATATTATAGTTATCTACTCAAAATAAATTTTACGCTGATAAGCAGCCCAAAAAAGAACAAAGAACGAGAGAGAGAGAGCGAGAGAGGGAGAGAGAGGGAGAGAGAGAGAGAGAGAAAGAGAGAGCGAGAGAGAGAGAGAGAGAGAGAGAGAGAGAGAGTGTGTGTGTGTGTGTGTGTGTGTGTGTGTGTGTGTGTGTGTGTGTGTGTGTGTGTGTGTGTGTGTGTGTGTGTGTGTGTGGTCTCTGGCTTCACCGTCGACCGGAAGTGTGAAGCTGTCAGAGATGGAGTCGCTAGGCAGCGAATGAGCCGAGGGAAAGTTCGGCGGTGTTCGTTGTGAACGGTGTCTGAGTGTTTTCTGGTTCAGGCGGAGGAAAGAAGGACATGCAGTGAGTATGGAGGCCTGTAGCTGAACTGTGTGATTTGGAGCGCAGAAAGCAGAAACCCGGTTAAACTGACGCTGTTAGCCGTTAGCCTGCTAACCTGCTAAAAGCCACTGAGGTCCGTTTAGCGAGCACTGCGTTATAAAGCAGCTATAAATGAATAAACTGCCGTGTAAACCCCGTCTGTGGGGGTTCCGTGTGCTGGGAGCTCGGGCTAGTCCTGCTCTGACCTGCTGGAGTCCGGTTTCTGGACTTTGCCCCGTGTTTAGCCGGGCTGTTAGCAGGTCAGCTAGCGTAGCTGCGGGACGGCTTCATTCATTGATTCCGGTCTCGGCGCTGAAACGCCTGAAAACGAGCTGCAAAGCTGGCGGCGTTGATCTGCAGTGCGGTTCTGGACGGAGTTTAGGATCTTTCTCTAAATATCCTGGACGTTTTGACTTGGGCAGCGAGATGAAGCAGTGATTCCATGTTACTTTTAATGTGCACGATGATTAACTGATAAACTGAAGATGCGCACACTTCAGATGGTTCCTCCAGGGTTCTTTAGTAAAGAGAACGGCTCTATTTAGGGTCATGAGTTCTGTATAGAACCATTTTATGCTTAGATGTTTCTTTGCATGGTGAAGTGGTTCTTCAGCTAAATGTAGACTGTGTTGTATATGGTTCTATATAGCTCCAAAAGGGGTTCTGCTATTGTTAAAATGTCAGGCTTGTAACAGTAGAAGAACCGTTTTTGGTGCTGTATAGAACCAATGTCAAAAAAGGGTCTATATACAGCCATATAGAACACATTCTCCACCATATAAAGAACAGTTTAAACGTGAAATGTACCAAAGAGGCCTTGAGGAACCATCTTTTTGGTTCCTGCAGGTCAGGATTGTCCAGCTCTGCTCCAAGTTCAAATACTTGACTGTCCCCTAAATGAATTTAGGTTGTAAGACCTGTAAACCTGCTTAGACTGAGGCATTTGGTTGCAGTTTTAATCTAATACACCTGCCTAAACAAAAAGAGATGTAAATATCGGTTAAAGTGGCATTCTGGCCTAAAGCTAGCATATCACTAATGTCAGAACAAAACCTCGTATCTACAAAATGGTAACTTTACAGGAGAAAGAAAAAACATGGTTTACTTTGAATGTAAGTCAATGGAACCAGACGTCCCCCCTCCCCCAAGTCATTTTGGGCCGTTTCTTTTGGTCCATTCATCATGAAATTTACACACAATGTGAAGAGCAACAGGCATTTTCAAATTATGTCAAAAAACTGAAAAACGACAAAAGTGGAGATAGAAGGTTTTGTTCCGACAACAGCGATATAATGTTTCATGTCATATAATGTTCTGTAGTGCAGTATTTCATCCCTCAGCCTCATCGGTTTGACAGAATTCATGATTTTTTTTTTACCTTTTTGCATTTCCGTTCATCATCTTCTCTCTACAGTACCCAGCATGTATACTGCAAATACATCATACAACCACTGGGCAACTGTGAAATCCAGACTTCTAGCATAGCCACTGATGTAGAGGCTACTAAATACAAACGTCACAGTTCATCACAGTTGGCATTCGACAGCTGGTGAAAAGAAAACATTTCCACCTTTAATTGCTTGTTGTTTTCGAAAGGTCTTTCTGCTTTCGAGATCATCCTCAGAAAGGAGTTTTCCCGGTCTTTTAACCAGAAAATATCGCTCTAGAGCAGGGGTGCACAACTCCGGTCCTGGAGGGCCGGTGTCCAGCACAGTTTGGTTGTTTCCCTACTCAAACACACCAACGTAACCTGGTAATTAACAGATAAGTGTAATCAGGTGTGTTGGAGCAGGTGTATCACCAAACTCTGCTGGACACCGGCCCTCCAGGACCGGAGTTGTGCACGCCTGCTCTAGAAACTACTCTGCCAGGGCTTTTTATTTTGGCCAGAGTGCCTCTTTAAGTTAGAGTTGTAATTAGGGCTATAAATCTCTGATCTCACAACAGTTCAGTTAGTTTATCATTCTTTAAGAAACAGTCCAGTGTGTCATGAAGTAGTAAACTCAGTCAAGGTTTGATTTCATTTTGCACAAGTGTGGAGAAACTATTTAGGCCTTAGTAAAATAGAAGATAAAAAATATACACCACACTTTTTTTTAATTTGTACCATTTAAAATAGCACAAGATTTTTTTTTTCAGTTCATACTTTATATTATTATACTTCATTGTAAGTGGTTCTAACATTGGAAAGCTGATGCAGCGGAGCTGACTCCCCAAGTTGACATCAAAGCAACGCATCAATGCATTTTTTGGGAGTTATGTGGTACTAAACTTTGTAGGAAGGTACATCTCCAGGAGCAGGTTTAAGCAGCAGTGACATATGTTTTGCGATGCCCTCTGTGCAGGTGATGAAGCGAGGCCGGACAGAGCAGATCCAGTACGCGGTGACGCAGTACCTGAAGAGGCGGCAGTATGTGGACACTGAGGGCTCGCTGAAAGGAGCCAAGCTGTCTCAGTCTGCAGAGGAAATGGCAGCCAGTCTCACAGGTACGTTAACAGAGCAATGGAGGGTTTGATAGGCTAATGAGTGAATTTGACCATTTTCAGGGGGCAGTCATGGGCTGGAGGGTTAGGGAACCAGCCTTGTAACCGGAAGGTCGCCAGTTTGATCCCCTCAGCCAACTTCCATGACTGAAGTGCCCTTGAGCAAGGCACCTCACCCCCAATTGCTCCTCCGGGCGCTGTGGATAGGGCTGCCCACCGCTCCGGGCAAGTGTGCTCACTGCCCCCTAGTGTGTGTTCACTAGTGTGCATATATGTGGATGTTTCACTGCATGAATGGGTTAAATGCAGAGGTCTAATTCCTCTGTGTGCAAAAACAGTTGGCTAATGGTTCTGCATTCAATTCAGTTCAATTCTGTCATGTGTATGAGAGCTGGCCGACAGATGAGAGCTGATCAGTGACACAAAATAAGTAAACCAACCTGTGCTTGCATGCAAATATATTGAATCTATCAAAAGTCTGACATAAAATGTTTTTTCCAATATTGGTAAATGTTAAATGCAGAACGCAAAACATAGCATGTTGTATCGCCTTTTATTTCAACCTGCTCATTCAGTTCAGATGATTTTCTGTAGTAAATTTCAAATCAAATCGGCTTCACAAGATGTTGTTGTGTCCACTTACAGACTACATGATTGTTCTCTTTATAACCAGTGTTCGTATGTGTCTCCAGTGTCAAGCTGAACCCATTAAAATTCAGAAATACTAACTTTATTTTTTAGCTTTGCAGTATTGGCTTATAAAATCTGAAGGACACTGTTTCTCTCTCTTCAGTCCAGACAGAGTCTAGCTGCGCAAACGTGGTTTCTGCAGCTCCGTGCCAGTCAGACCCTCAGCAGTATGACGCTCAGTTCTCCAGATTACGAACCTTTCTGCTGGGTGAGTAACACACAGTCTGAAACTGAACCGGCCTACCATGTCAGCTCTGAAACACAAATAATGTTCATGTGCTCATAATATATACCAGATTATAGGCCAGAGCAGACTGACCCAACAAACTGTTCACATTTGTTGTAAAATGTTTAGAAAAAGAGCTGATAAACAAGTGAAAGGGAGCAAATGTTACAGAACAGTGTGAACAGAGGTAGAACATTCTAGAAATGTAACTGGGGGCATCCTACAGTGGGGAAGGAGGAATAGAAAGGTGTGAATGAAGGAAGTATGAACGATGGACATTTAGTATTAATATCCTAAAACATAGGGGTCGTTCTAGAATGAAATGAACGGATGGAGTACGTGCAACAGCTGTGTGAAAGGGACGGCGTTCTACAATGGTGTACATGGAAGAAGGACGTTCTAGAACAGTGTGAAAGCAGGTAGCATATTCTAGAATGGTGTGAATGAGGGCAGAAAACTCTGGAACAGTCTGAATGGGACCATGTTACACTTATGTGAATTAAGGGAGAACATTTCTAGAACTGTATGAACAGGTAGCATTTTACAATGGCATAGATGGAGGCAGGGCGTTCTGGAATGGTGTGAATCTGAGAATATTCTACGATGGTGTGAATGAAGGAAGAACAATATAAAACGGTGTCAAAGCAGGTAGGATATTCTAGAATTGTGTGAATAAGGGCAGAAAATTCTAGAACAGTCTGAATGGGAACATATTACAGTTACATGAATGAGGGAGAACATTTCTAGAACTGTATGAACGGGGAGCATTTTACAGTGGCATACATGGAGGCGGGGTGTTCTAGAACATTGTGAATCAGAGAGGATATTCTGCAGTGGTGTCAATGAAGGAAGAACATTCTAGAATGGTGTGAAAGCAGGTAGGGTATTCTAGAATGATGTGAAAGAGAGCAGAAAATTCTAGAACAGTCTGAACAGGAGCATATTACAGTTATATGAATGGGGGAGAAAATTCTAGAACTGTATGAACGGGGGGCATTTTACAATTATATAAATGTAGGTGGGGCGTTCTAGAACCATGTGAATCAGGGAGAATATTCTACGATGTTGTGAATGAAGGAAGAACATTCTAGAACGGTGTGAATAGGGAGAATATTCTGTATCCATGTGGATTAATGGACAACATTGTAGAACACTGTGAAAGAGTTAGAACATTAATATGGGGATCTTAATTTTTATTCTCTCTCTCTCTCTCTCTCTCTCTCTCTCTCTCCCTCTCTCTGTCTCTCTCTCTCTCTCTCTCTCACTCTCTCACTCTCTCACTCTTACTCTCACTCTCTCACTCCAGAGGCGGAGGTGCCGTGGGCAAGGGAAGTGAGTGTGGTGCTGTTTCCCCTCTTCCTCTACCTGCACCTGGACATGGCACGCTGTGGCCTGAAGGGGGCAGTAGATGCGTTTTACGGTCGCTTCCACTCCCTCTTCCAGCAGGACGCTGAGCAGAAAGCCATTGTGGAGCAGCTTCGTGGCATACTAACACCACAGGTCAGTCACCATAACAACAGCTACTCACATCACAGGTCACAGGCAACTCGTGCCACAGGTCAGTCAGGAATTACGCTGTCCAGGGCTGCAGCTGTCCAGGCTATGGAGAGAGTTTTGTTTAGGCGTTCGTGGGAATAAATCTGTTCCTTAACTTTTTTTCCTATCATGTTCTGTGTTCTGCAGGATGTGGCCTCCAATTCCAAACTCTGTGCTCTGCTGGACCACAAGTATGTGGTCCACCTGACAGACCAGGCCTACAGTTACCTCCTGCGATACCTGCAGAGCGATGACAACAGCGCCATCTGCAGGGTGCTCAGCACACACCTACAGGTGGTTGATATTGGAACGCTAGATCAGAGTTGTTTGTAATTATAATCTATTATAACAATATTTAATAAATGTTTGCACCGTTTTTTTTTTGGCCAAAATGAAAATTTTCAGGCTGTTTCTAAACATAATAATATATTGTTTTTATTGTTTATATTTCATTCAGGGTAAATTTTCTAATGAATGTATTTGATGTACTTGTAAAAAATACAACAATTTAAAAAAATTGAGAATTTATGAAACATTAATTAATTTCCTAAAAAATCATATTTGATCACTGGTCAGAAATTTACACCCCTGGTGATGAAGTTTAACATGTTCTAGAAGTTTTGATGAACAAAGCTCTGAATCTCTATTATAAATGAAATTTGAATATTTAATTATTCCACAGGTGGAGGTGACGGCTGTGCGTCGGACCGACTACCAGCTCTACGGGGCGGGGCTTAACATGGGAAACTCCACCTCCACTTCCTCTTCCTCCAGCACCTGGGCGGGTGTGGATGGGGCGGAGGGAGCAGAGCCTGTGGAAGTGACAGCGGGGTTACCTCAGAATGAGGCTGCTCTGGAGGCTCTTCAGGACTGCATTAAGCGTGTGCGGGAGGGTCCTCCCTCCTTAACGACCGTGTGTTTCTATGCCTTTCAGCACACCGATCAGCTCCTCAACACGGCCGAGGTGTCACCCGACAGCCGGCTACTCGCTGCGGGCTTCGATAACTCTGCTGTTAAACTGTGGAGTCTGCGGGCCAGAAAGCTGAAAGCAGGCCCTCACAGGGCGGACGTGGCCAAGATACGGCTCGCCTGTGATGTTCTGGAGGAAGAGGTGAGAGTACTGATGCAAGATGATACACTGCAAATAACCCAGCAGGCAATCCGACCAATTATTCAGTGTTTGTTTTTTATTGCTTTTATTGTTTTTTTGTTTTTTTTTCCTTTTCAATACTGATTTACTTGACAGAACAAGACATAGTTTCTATTAGGGACGTCCTGATCCAGCAACTTTTTAAATATTTGTATTAAACACCAAGTGAGAACAATGGAAGTACGTTAGATAGTAAAAGAGCTGTAGTTTATGTAAGATATGTTAGGATTCCAGTTGCCTTCAAATAGTGAGGCTCATTCCAAATCATTTGAGGCGTTCAAGCAAAATGAATCAGTTGCGCTGATCTAATTTAGATTCCCAGCCCAACTTCCGCACATGGCCTGACATGACATCACTAATGTTAAGAATATTCATATGCAAACTGGCGGCTCTTGAATGCATTTGATTTCACTTTTGGAAGTGAAGTTTGTCCCCCTTATTTTCTGTGCATAGGCCTTTTTCTTACACTCTCAGAAATAAAGGTAGTAAACTGTGACCGGGGCAGTGCCTCTCTTGTCACTGGGGTGGTACCCTCAAGGGTACATCTCAGTACCTTTCGTCAGGGAACATAATTGTACCATAATATTTTCTAAGCTGTACTGACTCCACACACCCCGTCTCGTCTCCAGGCTTTTTATTTTATTGATCCGTTTTAAAACATTCAGTTATGAAAAGGTACAAATATGTACTTTTCACCAGGGGAAAAAACTCATTTAGGTACACAGTTGGACCTTAAAACCACTGTTGTACCTTTGAGGGCACATTTACACTGTTTGTACCTTGATGAATGAAAATTGTACCTGCACAGTATCTTTATTTCTAACAGTGTAGGTTAGATTTGTTTTTACTCATAGAAAAAAAAAGTTATACTACCAAAGCTTATTTATTCGTGATGTTCAGCGACTGCTGCTGATAATTTGTGCGCTCATTAGAAGCTCAGGTAATTCTGCAAACCGAATCTTATACGTGATGATGCCATGAAGGTGGCCATGAAATTCTACAGTCCACTTCATTAGTTTGTGCATAGAGTGGCATGATTGATCTGAACTGATTTTGAATGTGCCTTTAATATTTCTAGTTGTTCTAACATCCTTTCTTTTTAGTCCTTTTTAATTTCACACTGCAAATATTTAAATATTTTTCTGTCCAGAAAAAAAAGGCTGTGGATAATTCTTGTTTATAGCACCTGTACAGAATTGGCGTAAGCAGAGCGCAATGGAGTAATTTGTCTTAAAATCAACTTTTTCTTGCTCATGTCAAGTATGATTCTTTATGTCTTTACATTTAAAGATAAAACTGACCAGCCCACCTATCAAGGAAACACTCAGCTAGCTCAGAGACCCTCCTTGATCCTCTGTTTCGCTCACAAATACATCACAGTATGAGAGAAAAATGAACCATGATTTTCTGTGATGAAATAGGTTGAACTAGCAATCATTTAAAGCATGGTTTGATCAGATTAGCACAAATCTAAACCCTTAAAATGTTTTTTCAGGGATTCTTTACAGATTAACTAATTGAAAAAGACATTTTATATGCATAAGTAGTTCTTTGCATGGTTAAATGGTTCTTGTCTATGATGAGAAACCTGTTGAACAGATGTATGCAAAAGTAACAATCCCAGATCAAATAACATAGTATGGTGAAGTAGGTTAATACATCGTCTGCAGAGACCTTTTCACATTTGAATGCATGATTTCTGTTTATTTGCTGAATTTAACATATTGGGGAAAAAATAAAACTGTGGGCTGTCCAAAAGTTCCACCACATTTATATACATTTTTCCAACATGTTAAACTCAGCAGGTAAATAGAAATTGTGCACTGAAATTGCAGGAAAGTGACTTGTGTAAGTTTGTTCTATGTAGAGGATTGTTAACTTATTTAGTCCTAGAATAAAAAAAAAAACATATCATTTGACACTGTTGTTCAAACTTTGATAGAAACATTTTTAAAGAATCTTATATGTGGCACCAAAAAGGATTCTGCTGTTGTTCCATGTTATAAAACCTTTTGTTGGTACTGTATAGAACCCTTTTTTCTAACATGTAGTTTCTAAAGTTAATCTAATTATTTAATTCTTATCTCAAAACAGAACAGCTTTTCCCTTAAATAACAGTTTTTGTAATGACACTATTTTTATTTTTGCTCAGGCGGATGAGGAGGACTCGTCAGGCAGTGAGATAAAGACCCTCCGTGCGCATTGTGGCCCCGTGTACCGCACAGCCTTTCTGACCGACAGCTCTGGTCTGCTGTCCTGCTCTGAAGACTCAACAGTGCGTTACTGGGACCTGAGCAGCTTCACTAATGCGGCGCTGTACCGTGGCCACGCCTACCCTGTGTGGGACGTAGACGTGAGCCCCTGCAGCCTGTACTTCTGCACCGCATCGCAGGACCGCACAGCGCGTCTCTGGACCTTCCAGCGCACCTATCCACTGCGTGTTTATGCAGGACACCTGGCCGATGTTGACTGTGTTAAATTTCACCCAAATTCTAATTATGTTGCTACAGGTTCCACAGACAAAACTGTGCGACTGTGGAGCACACAGCAAGGCAATTCTGTCAGGTTATTCACGGGACATCGAGGCCCTGTTTTGGCCCTGGCATTTTCACCAAATGGCAAGTACCTGGCCTCAGCCGGTGAGGACCAAAGGGTCAAACTGTGGGACCTGGCGTCTGGCACACTATTTAAAGACCTGCGGGGTCACACAGACAATGTAATGAGCCTTTCATTTAGCCCAGACAGTGCCCTGGTGGCCTCCGCCGCCCTGGATAACTCTGTTAGAGTCTGGGACATCCGTAACACTCATGGTGGAGCAGCGGCTGCAGCGGACGGATCCAGCGGAGAATTGGTGGGACTGTACACGGGCGAAACCAGTGGAGTCCTGAACGTCCAGTTCATGGCATGCAACCTGCTGCTGGTGACCGGGACAGCACTGGAGAAACAAGAGCAATGACCAGGGACATTGTGCTCGTGTCCCAAGTAATGCTGGTGAGTCAGAAGTCAGGAGACATTCAAATATCTGTAAGACATTCAGTGTTAGTGATCTAATCTTTATTATGGGTATGTATCAGACTGGGGTGCCCAGTCCTGGTCCTGGAGATCTATCACCCTGCAGAGTTTAGCTCCAACCCTAATCTTAACATCATGAGCCAGGTTACATAATTCCTTCAGAAGCTTCTGAATGCTAGAGCTAGATGCTGGATCTAAGCCCAGGATTGGGCAGTCCTGTATTAGACCAACGGGAAACACGTCATAGGTCAGTTTTAACCATGAGCTAGGTATTAGGTGGTAGTGTTCATACTGGACTTCTTTGAGGAGTGCTTTGGAGATGGTCAAGCACTCATCAGATCACTATGGATTGTTTATTTATATGTATTCTAATTATTTTTTTTTGTTTTTAACAAATAAACACTTACTGTCCAGATAAATGCCTTTATATATTTGTTAAGATGGCTTAGGACTTTTGCACAGTACTGTGTGCCAACTTACGTATGTAAAAGGACTTACTCTGCTGATGTAGTTACACCCATTGGTCTAAACCAAAAGAGTCGTGACCTCAATCTCATTTAAGCGTCTTACAGATATTTGGGTGGTTCCTGGCTTTTGACTTGCTGTGTATGCATATAGTGCACTTGCCATTATTGCCATTATTTCATTATACCTAGTGCACTATATACGCAGTGGAGCACGATTTGAGATTTAGGTTTTGCTCCTTATGTTTGAATGCCCATAGTTATGTGGACAATGAGGTCAGACTGTGTGCCAGATGGCTCTCTAATAGGCATTGTGCACAATTTATAATATATGATGTAGAAGCCATGGCCCTCTGACCTGTGTTGTGCACTATATCGGGAGCATGGAGCGATTTGAGATTCAGCCCATGTGTACAGGTATTGCTGTGCATACATGTTGGTGGTAGACAGATGACGGCAAACTGGATAGTCCATCGTTTGTAATGAAGCAGCGACGAAACATCAACATAATAAACATTAACTCTCGAATTTCAACGAAAGCACACTATTAGAAACTATTAGGAGAATATAGTGGCTTAACACTGTTGCCCTGCACATGGGCAGAATCACCAGTAATGCTACGGTGCCAGTGTTTACATGGCGTTATGTTGCCACCTTTGCACCATTGCCAGTTCTGCTATGGGGCGAAAAATGGTAAATGCAGCTTATAAGTGCTGATTTTGGAGCAGGATTTGGCTTCTTACATGCAAATTGAAGACACTTATTCGGACTGAGTGGACCTGATCTTAGATCAGTTCATGGAGTGCATCTTTCTGTTGGTTACTGGAGCAGTAAACAAATAATGCAAAGTAAAGCGTGGGAACGAGATCCTAATGCGTGGCCACGACTTAGCAAGGCGTGGGAACGAGATCCTAGTGCATGGCCACGACTTAGCAAGGCGTGGGAACGAGATCCTAATGCATGGCCACATCTTAGTAAGGCATGATCTCATTCCCACACCTTACTAAGTCGTGGCCACGACCTAATTATCTTATTCCCACGTGTTACGAAGTCATGGGCACGCATTATGATCTCGTTCCCACACCTTACTAAGTCATGGCCACGTATTATTTTTATGTATATGGGATGTCACCAGCAGGGCTCCGTAGATTGGCCCATATCAGGCTGTCATAAGAAAAACTTTGTATGCCAGACGGCTTCCTGTGTAGCGCACTACGTATCGACGGTGTAATAACCGTTATTTCGTGACCTGTGTAGTAGGGCTCGACTGATGTATCCCTCGACTGGTAATATCAGCTGATGTTGATGTTCTGCAGGTTTATCAGTGTCTGTAAAGGCCCAGATAATAAAGTGCTGACGGTCATGACCAGCTCACTTCTGTTATAGCCTATTATAGTATGAACACAAAAGACCACCATGGTGTTTTGTGCTCATACTATAATGAATTAAAACCAGCAATACTGGTAAGAATTCTGAGAAGCTTCTCCCGCTGTGCTATTTATATTCATGGGCTCTGACTGAAATGGATCCCTATCTGTATTTTAGGAAATGATTCTGCCACTTTTCTCTGTGTCCGAATCTTAAACTGGCTTCCTGTTTCAGTACCAGTTTTAACGAGCCCTCGTCCACTTAGCCTCGTCATTTCCCCTCGGGGGAATCCCCGACGCCATCTTAAGGGTCATTTGTTAGCTCAAGTCAAGGATGTTCGATGAGTCCTCAGAGGGCTGAGAGATCGAGCAAACATAAGTGTCAACTTTGGCAGCAGAATTTACCCAGAAATCATTGTGAGTTGACGCATTTACCCTTTCAAAACCAACAGTAATGATGGCCAAAGTGGTTTATAACCCAGCTGGGCTTTAGGTTACAAATTACTCCAGATGTGAAATATGTTGGCTTCTTATTCAGCAATCAGTAGCCTCACTCAAGCACTTAGGCTGAGGCTCAACATAGGCTGATGAGAGTGAATTCATTGATTCATGTGTTTTTCCATTATTTAGTAAACTAAATGGTTCTCTCCTATTATTATCTCTCACTATGTTAATGAAGGAATAAGGATCCATTTCAGTGATAGCCAAAATTAAGGCATTTGGCTTTCTGCTGTTTATTTGAGTTTAGGAAGTGTAGCAATTGAAAACTGACAATCATATCAGTCAGTAAAGCACAGCTAACTGAAGCTATTGTGATCAGTTTAGTTTCTGACCTTATAGAATTGAATCAGCTGATATTATTGGTTAGCAGGATGATTTTAGCTGCAGCAAAATACTTACATCGGTTGAGCCCTGTATGCACTGCACTGTTTACAGAGGACGGAGCAAAATGAGAGACTGTAGTCCGTCTGTTCCTGCATGGTTGGTTTCCTCTCACCCTCCATCAGTGGTCAGTTTCTGAACGCTCTGCTCATCTAGGACCATGGTTTGCCTTTCATGTCAAAGAATGAAGGTCATGTTGATCAAGCAGTTTATTCTGGATTGTCGTAGGAATCTTCGAATGTCAGTTCACATTTCATTTCTGTTAGTGAGGTTGTTCTGCCAAGAGAGTGTTACCTTTTTGATAATGTCCAAAATGCCATTTTTTTAATGGAAATTGAAAATTTTGTTATGGAAATTGTAAACTTGCAAAATGCCATTTGAGAAAACATCGGGGAAGATATCTAAGAGAAAACAAACATTATGTTGAATTTGTGACCCTTAGCCTAGTTTTCCACTTGTTTTTGAGAGATCTGTGTTTATAGGTTGCACATAGGATCAAATCAGCAAGAATGAAGGTTAGATTTGGCTGATGTTCTGTTTAAAAGTGCATTAAGCAAAGTTGTTTTCCACCGGAATGAGTTTATGTAGATATTATATCTATATATTATATCTCCCTGGTAAAATTTCTTGATTTTCTAAGTGAAAATAAGTTGCCACGTCCTCTGCAGAGAACACACTTCAGCACATAATGCACAATTAATGTTTCTGCTGAGTTTAACATTCTGTAAAACATTATAACATAAAATGTGACCCGTGCTAAATTTATGTCTCGTTTATCATTTTATGTTTTATTTTTTTTCCATATTTGTTAAACTCAACTAAAATAGAAATTCTGCTCTAAATTTGGCAGAAAAATGCCACATTTAAGTTTGTTCTCTGCAGTTGTTGACTTATTTTCACCTCGAAAATCAACAATACATGTAATTCGACCATTGTACCCAATGTAGCCTTTAACCTGAAAACATATCATAAAAGTCCCTTTATTAGTGAATAGATCAAATAAAAAATAAGAGTAATGAACCGAAATTAGAGCCATAAAGATTTCAGGGTAGCTCCGCCCCCAGTGCTACATTATTTATATTATTTAATGCTGAGTTTCTGTCGTTGACTTTAAGTACTTTGGCAATTTAGAACTGGCCATCATGTCTGTCCGTAAAGCACTGTTTAACTGAACCTGTTCAGTCAAATTATATTAATTACTTTGGTCATTATCAGTGAATATTTGGAGTCGTAAAGCCCTGTCAGTCAGTATCGTCTGCAGAATTTTCAAAAATTAGCTGTACTTAGTTTCACCAACAGCAGCAGACGACTCTGCAGGACTCACGTTGGGGTCTGCACTTAAGATCTTTCACAGTGTTCAGTATTTTGTTTTAGGGTCAGTTGCACTGATTCAGTCATCATTCAGATCAGTGTCATGAAAGAGGGCTGTGACTGGTGTACAGTGGTGCACCACTCATCTGTGAAGGGGAAACTGTCTCTTCTTCTCTTTGGTCTTCAGGCTACATGCTGCACATTCTTGGCAGACGTGTATTGGTAGTGACAGGGTGGAGAGAAGAGTATTGTAAGTGAAAAATGTCTGACATGTAGTTGTTAACCTGTGTCTGTGACTCATTCTGACAGAATGCAGCTGGGCTCATTTAAAGGCCTCTTTTCATATCTCAGAAAGTCATGGGTGGAAACTTTTTTTTGTTGTTGGTGGTTTTTTGTTTTTCTTGTCTCTCCAAGTGTTTGTGTGCGAAATGTTTTGGGCAAAATTTCTGCCACCATGTCTGTATGACATCTGTAGACTTGTTAAACACGTCATAACTTTGTACTTTTTCATACCATACCAAAAACTCCTTTGTTTGTATTGTAGTTAAAGCTGTAAATATATTTTTCTAATATCTAATATTGTTGTCTGGAGACTAATTTTGTAAAACAAAAAATGCTTTACTATTAATACTATTAATACTGTTTTTCTTTTTTTTATTTTTATATACTTTTTTCATTCCTTTTTGTGCTTAGAATCACTCCTAGGTTAAGAATAGTGCTTCTTAGAATTGTTCTCAGGCTAGATATTAAGAAGGAAATTGACAGGTCTGTAAATTTGTAATAATATTTTCTGTATTAAATTATGTAAAATATGAATAATATTTTTAATAGAATATTTAAAAACATTTATTTAAAAAATATTACCTTTTATTTAAGAAATTACGCTTTTTTTAAGAATAATGTTTTTTTTTTTAAAAAAAAAAAAGGTATTCATCAAGAATAACACGTTCTTAGAATTGTTCCTAAGCAAAACGTGAAGGAAAGAATTTAAAACATCTTAAGAGTTTTTGAATACCAGTTTATCTTTATTTAGGAAAATATTTAAGAATTTATTTCACGAAAAGCACTTGTTCTTAGAATTGTTCTTGAGCAAAACACTGAGAAAAAATTAAGTGTTTTTTATTTATTTATTTTATTTTTTTTTAAGTAACAAATATCTCATAGAGGTACTTCAAGAAATTTTCCCAATACATGTCACTATATTTTTTCAGACTGTTTTACAGAGAAAAAAGAACCAGTAGTGTTACATTTTATAAAAATACTATGAAAACTTCTGAATACAATGATTTTTATGGAGCATTCGACAGGCTATGTCACTCTAAATCCAGTTAAACTGGACTCATTTTGTTCTCTTTATAATGAAACATGCAGTTGGTCAGTGTTAAAGTACTGATGATATACACAACATGTTCAGATAAGCATATTGTACTGTATTGTGACATAATGAGAAATTATAACAATATATACCGTCATATTGCCCAGCCGTAGCATCTTAAGAGGGAAAAACCACATTTAAGAAGTTTATATTTTTTAATCCATGTTTGTAAATCTAGTTTTTTGGTTGTGTTTCGTGTTGATTTTGGGCTTTTTCTACACAAGCCTACATGTTTGTATTACGTTTGCGGCCGAAGCTGTAATTGGAGTGTAACGGTGCTAATGATGATATAATTACCTGATTCAGTGTTAATGATCCCCTCACTGCTATTTCAGTGGAGATAATAATGATGTCCAGATTAAGGATGGGACGGGACAGGCAGGGGTGAAAGTCCAAGAAGAGGGCTATAAATAACACAGTTACTATGGAAACAGCCCTATTGGTAAACCTGGCTGTGTTTTATTGCATGAAAATGCACTCTTTATAGTTATACAGTGTAATGAGTGAGTTTATAGTGTTTTAACATTGTTGCCTCCTGTGTGCAGATTTGCTAAGATGCCAACATTCCTGAACTGCCAGAGTAGCAGTAGTAGTTCCGAATGGAATTCCTCCTCTTTAGAAGCCTCGACCAATAGGGAGGTATCCGACAGGACCTTGAAGTTTCAGGTGTGGTGACTTTCGCTCAGGAGGCCAAACCTGTTTCTTCTGCGGGAGTCTGAACAACCTGACAAGCCTGTCCTCATGCATACACACTGGGCGAGACCAGGTAGGCGTGAGCGAGTGAAGAACGCTCAGTCAGACGCGCTGCAGTCAGTCGAGTGCGTTGTCAGCTGCTTCTCTCGGTGTGTAAGTGAGTGTATAGCGCAGCAGGTGTGTAAGGATGCCCTCCACTTCGACACTGTATGGCGGCTCAGGGGGGAAAGTGTTGGTGGAAAGCTCTCAGGCTGACGGGAAGACGTATGAGCAGCTGAGGCAGGAGTGTCTGCAGAGGAAGAAACTGTTCGAGGATCCGGACTTCCCTGCCTGCGACTCATCGCTCTTCTTCAGTCAGAGCGTGCCCGTCAACTTCGAATGGAAGAGACCAGGGGTATGTACAGAACTGGACCAGTGGCTTTGTCCAGAATACAGTACTCATTTCTTTAATTTCCAGTCAAAATGTTTTATTTCAGAAGGTATTTCTGATGAGATTAGGCATAAAATAGTCAATTAACCTCCTAACAACCACCTGGAAGACCTGTAGGACACCAAAACTGTCCCCATCAGATAAATAGCACTTAAAGCTTTCATCTTTGAGAGAGGAGAAAATCAAGCTCCACTCTGGATTCAGATCTGAAAAAATCCACAGGAGTTTCTGTCCATCCTTCCACTGTGAGACACTCAGCACTATGAGTCTGAAAGGATGTGTAGCTGTTAAGAAGCTCTTACTGAGAAAAGGAGACACATCAAACAAAGGAGCTGCTGGATTCCAGACCTCAACATCACTGAATGTGTTTGGGATTGTTTGGATTGTGAGAAGCAGAAAATGTTAAACCAACAGTTTGGAGGAGTAAAAAAACATCCCTGCAGATTTCACTGAAAAAAATTAAAGCAACTCTCCTGAAAAGAAAGGAAGCTGTAATAAAGGCGAAGGGTGGGAACATAAAAACTTGCCTTTAAACATTTAAACATTTCATGTTATATTTAGTTATTGAGGCTTCTGTGTAATTTTCTGTTAAATTTGTTTTCTGCCTTCTGAAAATGAATCACTTAATGGCCGTTTTGACTGGAAATTAAATAAATGAAAGGTGGTCTCTGACTTTAGTAAAGTTTTTTTTCTGTTTACATAATAAAAGATCTTATGTCATTTGCGAATACTGACATAAGCTTTTCATAAATGCTTAAGCATGCTTCTGTTTAATGCATCCAGTGCTTGTGCATGTGTAACGAATGCTTAACATAGGGAGCCTTCAAGTTAAAATTTACCAAATAAATAAATAAATAAATAAATAAATGAACGAATGACAAGTCACTGGCTCAAGTATGAATCCAGAGTGATGTAGTGAGTATTCCCATTTTACTTCTCCTACCCTGCATACTCCAAACAACTCTGGTTGACAGTGTCATTCAAGGGGCTCAAGATAAAGACATAACAAAGTTTGCAGCATCTACATGATATAATGTGTGCATAATAACCTATAATGAATAAGACGTACAAGCATAAGAATATGCATAGGTTTAACGCTACACTGTTAAAAATGAGAAGTCAGTTCAACTTAAATTATAACCAGCGCAAACTTTTTAGCTGAGTCAAAAGTTCTCGTAACTCCATCCATTCATCCATCCATCATCTAAACCGCTTATCCTTCTGGGTCGCGGTCGTAACTCACTTTTTTTTTAATATTGAATGCATGTTTTTTACTTCCTTGCTAGCTGAGACTCTTTCTGTTAGTCAGTCCCACCAGGCATTTTCTCCTCTTGAGCTCCCAGTTATTAGTGGTGGGTATAGTGTAGTGGGTAACACTGCTGGCCTCTATGCTGTAGACTGAGGGTTCAATCCCCACCTGGGTAAGCACCCTACACTATACCAATAAGAGTCTTTGGGCTAGACTACTAACACTACCTTCACCTACCTGTTTACACATGATCAAATTGTAAGTTGCTCTGGATAAGAGTGTCTGCCAAATGCCGTAAATGTAGTTATGGATGGCTGTGGCACCACTGGGATTGAAACGTGAGCTCCTGAAATTGCTCAGATTTCTGTCCTTAAACGTTTAATACACTGTAAAAACGTGTTGTTTTAACTTTGAAAAGTACTGTGGTAATGTGGTTCACCCCAACATTAGGAGATAGTGAACTTGAACCACAGTGACCACACAGCTGTCCATATCTGGAAGCCCAAGAGGAGAAGATGCCTGGTGGGATTGTGTGTTGGTAAGAGTCCCAGCTAATGGGGAAACTGGGTAGAAAACAAATTCTATATTTGTTACTTAACTGAGAAACTAGAATTGAGAGTTAGGAGATCCTTTGAGTCAACCATGTTTGAGTTGGGAGAACTCCGGTGTCCTCAAGCTGAGTTAACTCAAGAAAAGCAGTGTAATCATTTTCTTTATCATTTTAAGTTGAGCTGGCTTCTACTTTTTACAGTGTATTGAGCGGCATTCATTTTACAAGCATTTGTTTTTACATTTCTGAGCTAATTAGTGATCAGTGGCTTAGCTGATCAATGATCCAGCCCAAGAAAGTCGTTTTTTAGTTATGCTTTTTGACCATATTAAGATACTTCGCAAGTGCTGGTTCTCCCTGAGCCACAACATGCTAACTCTTAAATAACTGTCTGCGAGTTATAAAGAAACAGTGCTGTAGGTTATTAAATTGCCCATCTCTACTGAGAAAATAAAACTCAGTGGTTGTTTATGGGATAAAATTCTTGTGGTGAACAGGAAGCAAAACAGTCGCCATGGGCCTTTAGCTCTGTGCTACAGGTCAGAAATGCACTCTGATATGTTTGGAATGTTTTCCTGTTTATTTAAATGAATACTTCACAAATAAAAATGAGACAGTCATGTCTAAAATGAATGAAAGCCAGCAGGGCTTGGGAATTGATGACATGTCGCACTGCATTATGGGGTCGTTCCACCATATTGGCAGGGTTAGCTCTTTGTTTATGTCAAACACTCTTACACAGTGCAAGAAAAGAGATTCCTGTTTTATTGCGTTTTTCAGACCCATCATGTTTAAAAGTGAATCAGATGAGAAGGGAATGTATCTTAACCAACCCCAGAGGGAAGCTAAGAGATATAATAAACAATATAATGATAAGATTAGACTTATTGACTTAGTGTGGATCCACACAAACTCCCAGTAAAAGAGTGGAGTAATGATCTGGATGTGCTGACTTTTGATATTTGACTTGATTTTAGAATGTTTTACCCAGGTTTACTTGGCGTATTTCAGTCAGGCCCTGGCATATAAGTTCCATTATTGGCATATTTCACTCAGCCACTGACATATTGGACTTCATCATTGGTGTATTTTACTCAGCCACTGGCATATTTCACTCAGTTATTGGCATATTTCAGTCAGTCACTGGCATAACTTGGTTATTGGCATATTTCTCTCGGCCACTGGCATATTTAACTCAGTTATTGGCATATTTCACTCAGCCACTGGCATATTTAACTCAGTTATTGATGTATTTTAATCCATAGTCAAGTCTCTTGAACCTAAGATAAGCAGACAAATGCTAAAAATCTGTTACTTCAATGAACATTACCAGCCTAGACACATCATAACGTACTGTTGAAAACAGCGAGTTTGTGAAGAATTGGTCAACTGAAGTTACCTGAATAGATTAATGAATGAATTAATTAACTAATTTTCCTATCCGCTTTCTTTGATTGTGCTCTGATCATTAGTCTGGTAGCCATGTTGATCCACGTGCTAGTCAGCTCTGTCAACATGTTTAGTGAGTCCATAGGCTACAGCTCAGCTCTACAGGACAGCAGGTAAGGAAGATTCATTCAGCTATTCAGAACCAGCCTAGACTGACCAACTCTGCCCAAAAATGGCGAAAATGCAGTGTCATGACTGCGTTCACAAGCCCTAGCGTGATCTCAAGTGCATAAAGTAGGGCTGTTCTGAGTCAACATTGATTCCAATTACAAGTGATGGAAATTGATAGATTCAATCTCAATTCCAGAAACCAAGACATATACAGAAGGATATCTAGAATAATAAAGAGCACTGTGTTAAATAGAATTGACCTTAGCAAGGAAATTTGGAGAGTTGACACCAGCTAAATTAACCTAGCTGGCTAAACTAGACCTTGTGTGAAGCAAAAAACAGCCAGACTATCAATTTGTGTGTTGTGGGAGGATGTCCCTGCTAGAAAAACCAGCACAGACCAGCATAGCCGGTCCCCAGCAAAACCAACATGCCTCAGTGACCATGCTGGTCGACAAGCTAAACCAGCACCAGACCAGCATTAACGACTGTAGACCAACTTTGACCAGCATGCAAATCATATTCTGTGCTGTTTTTTCATCAGGAGTATGTTTTGAGATGGTTTTTGGGGTCGACTCCCAGCCCTAGCAAAATGCTAACTAGTTTCTGCTGTAAGGATATATGTTTAATGCTAACTGCTACTTGTTTCTTTCATTGTTTATCACTGCTAGCAGGTCTGAGTGAAGTATTATTTTAACAGGGAAGAGTAACTGAACGTGAAACATGTGTAGACAAGTATTATTTAGCCATGCTATAGTTTACTGTTAATGCTAGGTTAGTGTTGCAGTGTATTTTGCAGGTGAAGGTAGCTGGAGTTTAGCTCGCATGTTTTGAGGATCTAAAAAGAAGATTCTTTTAGGTTTCAGTCGGTTGGGGTTTGCACCACACCCACAACACGCACACACACACACATCCTTGGCTTGTGATCAGGCTGCTTTAAATGCTAACGATTGTTGGACCACATTTCTTGCTCGGGCGTAGCCCTGTCTGAGGTGCTGTGTGTCAGTCAGGCATAAACATTTCTCTCACTGGGTCAAGGTTTGATTAAAACAGGCGGCCACACCTTGCAGAAGGAGCAGGTGTCTCTCCCTTCCACCACCGCACTGCGGCCTGCACGTTAAAGCCATTCATACTCCGGGCTGCATTAAAAAGCTGGTAGAAGTTTATTTGAACGGACTTCAAATAAAGGCATAAGTAAAAAGTAAAAGTAAAGTAAAAATCCTTCCCAGGATTTTGTTCCAACTGTCTGGACAGCTCCGCTGGTGGTTTGATCTAACTAGAGAGGCCAGGCCATTGGAACAGAATCCTGGGAAGGATTTTTACTTTCTGGATCTGAATTTTACACCTCTGGGCATAAGCAGTGAAAAGCGATACTTCATTATTTATGAATAAGACAGCATTTACAAGACGACGTAAAATGTTTTATTATATTGTATTGGAGCCCTTTAACCAAAGTGACAAGACATTTGTTCCATTTCTAACCCCGTTAGGAAGCAGCGTTCCCAGGTAACGGGGTTTATAAGAGAGAGACCATATTAAGAACACTATAAATCAGTTCTATGAAAGACTTGAATGACCTCAAACTAAAGATGATTTTCACACATATTGGATGGTATTACAGATCAGTTTGAAGCAAAACTAAATAGGGACTTCATAACATGTGCATAAGCAGTGAATAACGTATTTAAAAAGCAGTATTTGAGTTTATGTACTTAGTCATTATATTCTTAAGATGACGAGTCATTTATGACACTATATTGATGTAATGTCCCAGAGTATGCTACTAGAACTCTATCTCTCTCTTTTTTTTGTCTAATTTAGGAAATCTGCAAAGACCCCAAATTCATTCTTGGAGGAGCTGACAGAACTGACATATGTCAAGGACAACTGGGTGAGCAAAGCACTCGATTTTATTATTTTTACACAATTTTTCAACTGTGTTAAAAGAAATTTTAATAATAAAAAATCAAAACAAATTTCCTTTGTGTGAACAAATGAACCATCAGTGATTGTCCGAATCGTGTCACATTAACATATATTCATTCTTAATTTCAGAACTTTTTTTCCCTTCTCCTACAAAGTTACATTTTCTGAGATGAAATGTTTTGTTACGGCGATGATGTCATTCTAAACTGCCTGCCGTTTGTTTGGTCTCAGGTGTGGACACAAGTGGAGAATGAACTCTGTAGCACTGATTAATCTCAGCAGTATAAACACATTCATTTCAGTGATCAGGTTCTAAACCAGATCTTACACCTGGTGTCTTTGAGTATGTTCGGAGAGTTCGCCTGTAATCCCGCTGTTCTCTGTGTATCTGCAGGAGACTGCTGGCTGTTAGCGGCGATCGCCTCTCTGACGATGAACAAAGAGGTGCTGGCGAGGGTCGTACCTCCAGACCAGAGCTTTGATCACGGCTATGCCGGCATCTTTCACTTCCAGGTGAAGACTCCTATAAATACAGATTTCAGTTATTAATCTTACATTCAATAACTACTGCGAATTATTCAGTAACTACAGAAGTATTTAGTTACGTATTATGCTGTGTAATTGACATTAGATAAATGGACGGTGGGAAAGAAGATAGATAGATAGATAGATAGATAGATAGATAGATAGATAGAGTGATGGATGGATGGATAGCTAGATGGATGGATGGCTGCATAGATGGAGGGATGAATGGATGGATAGATTAAAGCATAGATGGATGGATGGATGGATGGATGGATAGATAGATAGATAGATGCCTGCATAGATGGAGGGATGGATGGATGGATAGATTAAAGCATAGATGGATATATAGATGGCTAGATGGATGGATAGATAGATGGAGTGATGAGTGGATTGATGGATGGATGGATCGCTAGATGGATGGATGGATCGCTAGATGGATGGATGGATGGCTGCATAGATGGAGGGATGAATGGATGGATGATGAAAGCATAGATGGCTGGATGGCTGGATAGGTAGGTAGGTTGGTAGGTAGGTAGGTAGATAGATACATAGATAGATAGAAAGATAGATACATAGATAGATAGATAGATAGATAATATGGATGAATAGATAAATGGATGTCATAGGTCACATAGCTTACAACAGTAACAGCAGCCATCCTGAAGACTGGATTTTGTTACGTTAGCTACCTGTTAGCCTCACAGCTCCAGTGTAAAACGTATATCCTCACTTTTTAAACTGAAATAGTTTGATGTATTTAAACGTTTAAAGTTTAAAAACGTCCCCTTCACGTTCATGCAGTCCATATATGGGCACTGAATTGCTTTAATGTAACTAATATCAGTGTCTGTCTTTCTCTTGTTGTATGTGTTTGTATGTGTGGTAGTTCTGGCAGCATAACCACTGGCTGGACGTGGTTGTGGACGACAGGTTGCCATGTGTGAGGAACAAGCTGGTGTTCCTTCATTCTGCTGACAACAATGAGTTCTGGAGCGCTTTGCTGGAGAAGGCCTACGCCAAGTATGCACACGCACACACACACTCAGAGTCAGGGCCTAGGAGCAGTTTGCAGATGCCGTTTGCCCTGTTTGCTCTGCTTTAACTACAAATTCACTACATTTTTAATCCTGAAAAAGGAATAAAAAACAAATACACATCTATGTAGTACAAAATCTGGATGGATCTTAAACTGCATTAACTGTCCATCACCCTGCTTATAACTGTATTAACTGTAACTGTAATGTAATGTAAATATTAGAAATGTTTTCCACATGTGTTTCTGTAGACACAAAGTATTTTTTTCCTGAAGCATTTAATTAAATCATTTCACTTTAAACTGTGCACATATCATTCAGTGATTAATCTTATGAGAAATTACTCAATAACTAATAAAAATATTTACTAGCTACTAAGAACTATTCAGTAACTTCACTAAATTATTCAGTAACAACTAGAATTTATCCAGTAACTACACAAAATTATTTAGTAACTACACGAAATTATTCAGTAACTACACGAAATTATTTAGTAACTACACTAAATTATTCAGTAACTACACAAAATTATTTAGTAACTACACGAAATTATTCAGTAACTACACGAAATTATTTAGTAACTACACTAAATTATCCAGTAACTACATCAAATTATTTGGTAACTACTATAAATTATTCAGTAACTACACTAAATTATTCAGTAACTACTATAAATTATTCAGTAACTACACTAAATTATTTAGTAACTACACTAAATTATTCAGTAACTACATCAAATTATTTGATAACTACTGTAACTTATTCAGTAACTACTACAAATTACTCATTAGCTTCTATGAATTATTCAATAACTATATGTTACTATATTAACTACTATACATTACTACTATGAATTAGTCAGTAACTGCTTTATATGATTTAGTATGGTAACTACTATGAATTATTCAGTTTGTATTGCACATTTTCAGTATCTACTGTAAATTATTAATTGTCTACTATGATTAAATACTATGAATTATTCAATAAGTGCTATGAATTGCTGTATTTACTACTACTGTACATAACTATTATGAATTACTCAGTAACTTCTATAAATTCTTCACTAGCTATTTTGACTCACTAACTGCTAAAAATGACTCACTACTATAACATATTCAGCAGCTTCTATGAGACTGACGTGTACGTTCTTTAGTTTGAGCGATTGAGGTGTGGAGTTCAAGTGATTGCAGATGCAGCTGGGTTCTAAGTGTTGTTTCTGATGTGCATGTTTCAGACTGAATGGCAGTTATGAAGCTCTGAAGGGAGGCGCTACTCTGGAGGCTTTGGAGGACTTCACCGGCGGCGTGGGTGAGATGTATGAGACGAAGAAAGCCCCGGCTGACCTTTACACCATCCTGAAGAAGGCTCTAGATCGAGGCTCCATGATGGGCTGCTCCATAGACGTAAGAATGAAGGCTGTTTAAAGTAAAGTCAAACAAATAAATAGTCTAATGAAGGAAAGAAGTAAAGTACTTCACTTAAATTTACAGTAATGTCATTTTGTCATTTTTTAAGTAATTTTGGACCATTTTTATCAATCTATTCATCTTGAAAAATACAATGTTAAGATCAGATTCAGTGATAAATATAGCTGTAGATCATTCTAAAATGACTGAGAATTAAGTTGCAATAAGTTAATATGGAATGCATCTTATTCGCCAAGTGATGATCAAATCATAAGCCTGATGGTTCTTATTAACTTTAATTCATTCAGAATGATAGTATACAATATTAAAATGATAACATGTTTAGATATTAAGTGTGCTTCTTCTTTCAGAGTAGATCATTACATTGAACGCTATTTTCTAGATCACCAGCTCGGCTGAGTCGGAGGCTCAGACTGCGACAGGTCTGGTCAAAGGTCACGCCTACTCCATCACTGGCTTGGAGGAGGTAACTATGGCAACCATCAGTTAGACTGTTGTTCATAGATAGTTAGTTATACTGTTCATGGCTCACTGAGTGTGCTGATGTATTGTCCATGTCACCATGATTTAGAGCATCTGTAACACACTGGGTGTGTTGTTCTTCTGCAGGTGAACTACAGAGGGGGGAAGGTCAGGCTGATCCGGGTCAGAAACCCCTGGGGTCAGGTAGAGTGGAACGGCCCGTGGAGCGACAAGTATGTGTCCCTTAATGATGTGACTGCAGACCAGAGACTAGTGTTTAATATGATGTCTCAGGTTGCAATAGTTTAAAGCTAGAGTTTACAGCTTCCTTTTGTGCTGGAGATGCTTTGAGAGGGATTCCACCCATTTTTCTAAATGTTCTGCATAAATCAGTGGTCATTCAGAGTGGTTTGGTGTGAAATGGTTCATTGTAGAGAAAAGAACTGACTCAGATTTCTTTGCCACAACATCTACAACACAAATATTTACTATATTTGTACCTCTCGTTCATGAATGTATCTTAAAAAATACGTTATAGGCCAAATTTTATCTCAAAACGATCAGTAAACAGTGTCTCAGACATGGTATTGGCAGTGTATTCAGACATTAAAGTGTTCAGATGGTTCCTATCACCATCACTGTGAACAATTCTGACTCGATAAGTTCTCTAGAACAGAGTGTTTCACACCAAAACAACCTGAATGACTTTGTTTACATCTTGTCAATTTAATTTTCCTGACACATCGGTAGAATTCCCCTTTAATGGGCTGTAAGAGTGTTCATTCTCAATGAGTTCAAAAGTAGGAAACGAACCAGGCTTAGGTTTTGGGTTGATGGTTTTGCCAAAAATCAACTTTACTCATCTGGCTAACAAGTATTGAAAGCTTGTAATCACTAGTTAGCATTGTGCAAACCATTGTGCATGACCAAATCACACACTAAATTTGATTTATGGCCAAAACATAGTTATGTTATGTTAAATTTAATAGACTTGCTGTTGAATGTAAGTTAATTATACATATAAAGGACACTGATCTTAAATCAGTGCTTTTACCCAAAACGTATGATACAGATGAACAACATTGTGACACTATTAAGCCCCTGACGTTCTCTTGTTCCTTGCAGTTCCAGAGAGTGGAGTATGGTGGATAAAGCAGTGAAGACCAGAGTACTTGAAAACGCTACCGATGATGGAGAATTCTGGTAGGAGCTAAAGACTGAAATAAAAAATGACCTTTAATTTTACTTAATTTGCACAGTTTTCTAGTTAACCCAGGTTTGGTTTGCAAATTTTAGTTCTTCATTTTGGAACGGGAGAACTTTTCCTTTAAGCATATCACAATATCCGATTTAAAACATGTGGTTCTTTCTTTCCTATAATCCTCCATCAAAATGTAATAACTTTGGCTCACCTTTAAAACGTCTTTTTTATTTTTGTCACCATATGAAAATGCATAATGATTTCCAGTTTACGTTGAGGTTAAGATGTACCCAGCATGGTTAAATGATAGTTCATGTTAGTTCTGTTGTATTATTACTAGCTCACAGTGAACAATATTCCACAGTTGAAAATGTGACACCATAGATACACAATGCACTGAGAGCCTCATGATTTGCAAGTATTGCTTCCAGTCACCAGTACAACTGATTTCATTCATTTTAGGTCCCCTTCTGTGTTAAAAGTTACTTTATGAAAAAGCTAACGTATGTTTATACATCACAGTAAGTCAGAAATGACATAAGCAAGTCTAGTTCAGATTACTTAAAGTGGCATTCTGGCCTAAAACAAGCATTTAATGTTATTTATACTTTTATACCTTTAATATACATTATCAGAAGGGAGTTCCCTAATCTTTAAACCAGGCAATCACTATCTAGAGACTTCTGCGTGTGTGGAGATGTTCACAACAGATGAAGCAGTGTGACATTTTTTGATGTTACCCAGAGTGCCCCTTTATCTCAACAAGGTCTGAGGCAATTCCTCACTGAAACCTGAGGGCCAAAAACACTAACATTGCTGTCTTGTAGGATGGAGTTTGAGGACTTTAAGGCGAACTACGACCGAGTGGAGATCTGTAACCTCACTCCAGACTCCCTGACGGATGACACCAAGAAGAAATGGGACACCAACATGCTGGAGGGCAGCTGGATCAGGGGCTCCACCGCTGGAGGCTGCAGGAACTTCATCGGTTAGAACGAAACAGCAAAACTGATTATACTTCTTTCTTGTTGCTAAATGGTTCTTGGCTTGGACAGTTCTAGAAAAAAAACTTTCATTAGTATAGAACTGTTACAGTATGTGGAAGTGGTATAGAAAATGGTATACAATAACAATAGGGCTGTCATGATTACTCACTTTAAATTAAATCCTCTATTTTAAATTATGAATCGATTCTAATTGAATCCGCAGTGATCAGTTAGCAGTTTAAATGCTGAACAGGGAAACCACAAGTCATTATAAAGTAGTGTTTAGCAGTCCGAACATTCTCCACAAGGGGGAGCTATTAGCTTTACTGAGCATCACTGAAAGAGAGGAAACCCACACCAGCAGGAATGCATATATGTTTGCAAAATTAAGCATTCGCTGTTATAAATTTTGTGTTTATGATAATTGATATAATTGATAGCCACAGCCCAATACTTTTCAGAAGTATTCTACTGAAGAAATTACAGTGTCATGACAATCTTAGTTCTAGTTTAGTCATAAATAGTGAAAACAATGTACTATTGCAAGTAAAAATGGTGTGTTGAGATACATTTTGATGTATTTCATCAGGTCACTGACAGACATTTATTCCTCAGTTTGCTGTCATTTTTAAAGCAGCTTTTCAAAAGTATTTTGGCTAATTACTAAAAGCAATTAGCTAATTAGAAAAAAAAACAGAATTAAAACTTCGGCAGCCTTTAGTTTCACAGCATTGAACATCCATATATGATCCAGAGTGGTTAGTATCTTATGTTATATTAAGTTATGTTATATTATATAATATAATCTGTTCTCTTTGAGTGATAAGGACTTGAAAACCACTGGATTTAGTGAAGAACTTTAACCTGCCTTGTTAATTATAGACAGGTGGTGGTGGTGGTGGTGGTGGTGGTAGTGTTGTAGAGTTCCTGTACGTCTCCCATCTTTGGTCATTATGTCCACCGACTCTGATGTTTGTGTGTGTTTGTTTCTTCTCAGACACATTCTGGACGAACCCCCAGTTTAAGCTGAAGCTGGAGGACGCTGATGGTGATGGTCAATGCAGCGTCATCGTGGCCCTCATGCAGAAGAACCGACGCAAACTCCGCAAAGAGGGGCTCGACCTGGAGACCATCGGATTCGCTGTTTATGAGGTCAGAGAGCCAGACAAATAGTGAACCACTGGGAAAACAGAGCATAGATTGAATTGAGGCACTGCAGTGTTAGAACACTGCGAATGGGGCAGAACATTCTAGAACCATGTGAATAGGAGAGAACATTCGTTTTTGTTCTAGCTATTACCACTGATTCTTACACTGGGTTTGCTGAGTCCTTACCATTATATACCGTATAATTTACCAGATATTTGAAGGTGTTTCCAATTTACTTTCTTGCTTAAATGTGTGACATTACATTGAGTTGTAGTGTGAGTAGGTTTGTACAACCTTGTTGCTTCCAGCATTTCTGAGGTATTTTATGATGTCCTTTGTCAGTTTAATAGCTAAAACCTGTTTATTTCATACATATTTCAGTGTAATTTAGTTAGACTGTCTTAGTACTTTTCATTTTGCTCAAAATAATTATCCAGTACTTTGGAATTTATACCACACATTCTCCTGGAAAACTACCCAGAAATTAGGACTGTAAAAGAAAGCATTACTGAACATTCTGGAACAGTGTGAATGATGGAGAACATTCTAGAACTGTGTGAATGGAAAGAACATTCTAGAACAGTATGAATAAGGTGACATCTGGGACTTTTTTCATGAAACATTTAAACAAAATAATTATCTAGTACTTTAGAGTTTGTACCATACATTCTCTTATAAAAATAGCAAGAAATTAGGACTGTACAAGAAAGAACAATCTCTAGCACAGATTGAATTGGGAAGATCATTCCAGACCCGTGAGAATTGGGGAGAAAATTCTAGAACAGCATGAATGGTGGAGAACACAAGCATTACTAAACATTCTGGAATAGTGTGAATGGTGGAGAACATTTTAGAACTGTGTGAATGGGAAGAACACTCTAGTACAGTATGAATAAGGTTGAATATTCTAGAGCAGAGTGAATGGGGAAAACATTCTAGAACAGTGTAAATTGGAAGGACATTCCAGAACAGTGTGAATGGTGGACAACATTCTAGAACTAGAACAGATTGAATGGGGAAGATCATTCCAGACCTGTGTGAATAGGGGAGAAAATTCTAGAACAGCATGAATGGTGGAGAACACTCTAAAGCATTCTAGAACTTTGTGAATGGAAAGAACATTCTAGAACAGTATGAATAAGGTATGGGTATTCTAGAGCAGTGTGACTGGGAAAAACATTCTAGAACTGTGTATATGGTGGAGAGCATTCTAGAACAGTGTGAATGGTAGAGAACACACTAGAACAGTATGAATGGTGGAGAACATTCTAGGACAGTGTGAATGGTGGAGAACATTCTAGGACAGTATGAATGGTGGAGAACACTCTAGAGCAGCCTGCATGGTGGCAGGGGATATTCTGAAGTCATCTAAGGAAAAGAATCTTGAATTCTCTAGAATCACATATAGGTAGAGCTCAGCAGCCCAACATGCTTATGCTCTGCATGTGTTTAACTCTGGAGATTGAGATCCAGTCTTTCCCTCTAGGCCCCTAAAGACGAGGACCACCTGGCTAAGGATTTTTTCCGCTTTAACCCGTCTAAAGCGCGAAGCCACACCTACATTAACATGCGCGAGGTTTCAGAGCGCTTCTCTCTACCCCCCGGGAGCTACCTGCTGGTGCCCACCACCTTCCAGCCTCACAAAGAAGCTGACTTCGCAGTGCGCATCTTCTCCGAGAGCAAAGCTAAAGCCATGTATGTCTCTCTCTCTCTCTCTCTCTCTCTCTCTCTCTCTCTCTCTCTCTCTCTGTCTATCTTTCTGTCTCTCTTTCACACTTAAACACTACATACAAGAATATGTGAATGAGCTACAGCTACAGTGCAGCTTTTGTAGATCGTGTTTGTTTTAGAGTGCAAAGCAATTATTTGTAGAAATGCTGCACCTGAAGTACATAATAATTATGATACTTATGAAATGCAATAGATTATCTTACTAAAAAGTCTAGTGCAGTATTTGTATTATACATGCGGTGCTTTTATAGATTGTGTTTGTTTCTGACATCTGGCTTCATTTCTGCATTGCTTCTGAACTAAATGTCCCTTTTGAGAAAGTGAAGTACTGATCAGATATTGTGTGTGTGTGTACAGTGAGATGGGGACCACTGTTGACGCTGACCTGCCTGACGTGAGTGACCTTTTAAATGAATAACGGTGTTTCTATCTGTCTGTCTATCTATCTGTTTATTGTTTGTTTATTTGTTTGTTATTGCTGACCCCCTCAGCCCCCCATGCCCAGTCCTCCAGAGGAGGAAACTGCAGAGGAAAAGGGCCTCAGGCAGCTTTTCGAACAGGTCGCTGGCTCGGTAAGTCAACAATGAAATAAGTGGAATAAATGGGGAGGTTTCCTCTATATTTCTGTAATATTCACATTTTTGGTAATTTATATACAGTAATTCCTGTCACAATATAGATCTATAAATTAACAACATCAAAATGTGTCTAATATATTTTTTATGAAATATTTCAGGTTTTTAAGGGCCTAAGAGCTGTTATTATATAATAAATAATGTACTGTATGTATTTAATACATTTAGAGCTTTGAATACCACTTGTGAAATAGGAACCAGATATTAATCTTATTATAACTTAATTCTGGATGTTAATGTTATTGTCACTTAATTCTAGATATTATTTTTATTATAACTTAATTCTGAATATTAACATTACTATAATTTCATTCTGGAAATTAATGCTTTTGGAACTGTAATCTGGATTTTATTTTATTAGAACTTCATTCTGGATATTAACATTTTTAGAACTTCATGCCAGATAATTATTTTATGAGTTTATGAGTATTTTATGTAGAATAACTTCATTCTACATAGTAATTCTGTTATAAATTTCTTCTAGATATAAATATTCTGCAGAACTTCATTCTGGATATTAACAATATTAGAACATTATTCTGGATATTAATGTTATTAGAACTTCATGCCAGATAATTATTTTGTTAGAACTTTGTTCTAGATATTAATTCTATTATAATTTTATTCTGGATATGAATATTCTGCAGAACTTCATTCTAGACATTAACATTATTAGAACATTATTCTGGATATTAACATTATTAGAACTTCATGCTAGATAATTATTTTCTTGGAACTTTATTCTAGATATTAATTCTATTATAATTTTATTCTGGATATGAATGTTCATAGAACTTCATGCTAGATAATTATTTTTATCATATTTTTTTTCTAGATATTAATTCTATTCTAACTTAATTCTGAATATAAATATTCTGTAGAAATTCATTCTGAAAAGTGACTTTATAAAAACTTTGTTCTGGATAATTATTTAGAGTTACTTTCATTCTTGAACTTTGATTCCATTTCAAACATTAAATCCAACTTTTCAATGGTAGTATTTTATTACTATGATCAACATACAGAGTATTTGACCATAATCAAGGTTAAGGTAATGACAGGGTTTTGTGGATTAGGGCTCTTTTGACTGAGCAGTACTGTTTTTGTTGTTACGTGGTTGTAGGATCAGGCCATCAGCGCTTATGAGCTGAAGGACGTCCTGAACGGAGTGCTGAGCAGGAGTGAGTTCATTACAGTTCATTGACCTTTTAAAATCACGGCAGAAAGGTGTGCTCTTCTCTCTTAATAACGTGATTTCACAGTGCTGTTGTCTCATTTAATTTGACGCATAAAGAACATGATCTAACTCAGCTGGAACTTTCTTAGTTTTTGTGTTTGTCTCACAAACTACCATATTCATTAAGCAAACATATGAAGAGGCATGTCGCTGTTCTTGGAAGAAAACCTTGTATCTCCAAAATGGTAACTTTACAGGAGAAGGAAAAAACCTACTTTACTTTTAATGTAAGTCAATGGAACCAGACATTTTTCCAAGTCATTTTGGGTCATTTCTTTTAGTTCTTTCATCATGAAATTTACACACGATGTAAAAGGTAACAGGCATTTTCAAATTATGTCAAAAACTAAAAAACATCAAAAATGGAGATACAAGGTTTTCTTCTGACAACAGCGACATACTTCACATTTCAGTCTCCTTTCATTGTTACTCTGATGAATTAATAAGCGTTAATAAGCGTTTCCATAGCAATGTGGATTTTGAATGTGTGTGCACTCTGGTTCAGAAACTATTGCAGTGCATCCAACAGTGAAGGGCAGCAAGGAGCTTCTTTTATACAGTGATAGAAAACACAGTAGCTCACAGAAAGCTCCAGTAACACATGCTGATCCATTTTACTCTCATCAGCGTGGACTCGCACGCAGCGAGATGACTCTGAGAGCTGATTTGAATTAAAGAGACAAAGATAAAGACTCTGAATTAGACTTGCACAAGCAAGATGTTCAAATGAGCTTTATTTGTACTATTTCAACTCTGAGCTGCTTCTGAATGCTTTTGTTTGTTCTGTAATTGTTCTGTTTGTCTGTGATAGGGAAAGAGATTAAGTTTGATGGAGTGAGCCTGAACACCTGCCACAGTATCATCAACATGATGGATGTATCCTTCAACACCGGCCGTTCATTCAGCTTTTCACACTTCAGCACACTGAGCGGTGTCTGTTAGTCATAGACATATTATTAGCCGCTGTTTGAGAGGCTGTTCACTGACATCACTATGGTAGAACATACACCGATCAGGCATAACATTGTGACCACCTCCTTGTTTCTGCGCTCATTGTCCATTTTAGCAGCTCCACTTACTATATAGGTGCACTTTGTAGTTCTACAGTTACAGACTGTAGTCCATCTGCTTCTCTGCATACTTTGTTAGCCCCCTTTTACCCTGTTCTTCAATGGTCAGGACCCCCATGGACCCTCACAGGGCAGGTACTATTTGGGTGGCAGATCATTCTCAGGACTGGAGTAACACTGACGTGGTGGTGGTGTGTTAGTGTGTGTTGTGTTGGTCTGAGTGGATCAGACACAGCAGTGCGGCTGGAGTTTTTAAACACTGTGTCCACTCACTGTCCACTCTATTAGACACTCCTACCTTGTCAGTCCACCTTGTAGATGTAAAGTCAGAGACGATAGCTCATCTGCTGCTGCACAGTTTGTGTCGGTCATCCTCTAGCCCTTCATCAGTGGTCACAGGACGCTGCCCACAGGACGCTGTTGGCTGGATATTTTTGGTTGGTGGACTATTCTCAGTCCAGCAGTGACACTGAGGTGTTTAAAACTCCAGCAGCACTGCTGTGTCTGATCCACTCAGACCAGCGCAACACACACTAACCCACCACCACCACGTGATCATCCACCACCCAAATAGTACCTACTCTGTGAGGGTCCATGGGGGTCCTGACCACTGAAGAACAGGGTAAAAGGGGGCTAACTAAGTATGCAGAGAAACAGATGGACTACAGTCTGTAATTGTAGGACTACAAAGTGCAACTGTACAGTAAGTTGAGCTGATAAGATGGACAGTGAGCGTAGAAACAAGGAGGTGGTCATAATGTTATGCCTGATCGGTGTAGGATAGAAAGCATGTTAGTTGATAAGTTATAACCTTTTTAAATATTACAAACATATTAGTTTTAGGAACATCAAATTGTTATAGAATGCGTTCATTAAGTGGTTCTTTAAACTTAACAAATATTCTTCATGCTCTTATCTTATTTTCAGACCACCTTTATTTTTAAGAGTTAGTTATTATAGCTATGTATATTAGTTTCCTCTCTGATGAACAGAAGGAGTAGCTCTATCAGGTGAAGAGTTTCATGATTCTGTTTTTTTGCCAGCTTTTCCTGAACCAGACTGTGCAGGTTGATAACTCAGGCATGATCGAGTTCCAGGAGTTTAAAGTCTTCTGGGAAAAGCTGAAGAAATGGATGGTAAGTGCTCTGATCCATGTAGACTGGAGCCGTAAGTCACTACTGGTCAGACCAAAATGAGTCTGGGGAGCAAAAGGATAAACAGCTTAATAATGAGCATGGAACTTCCGGGGCCTTTTAGGCCTTTAGAGAAGTCCTGATTATCACTGTGAAATAAAAGAAAAAGCATGTCTCTAATTTTTAGTTTAGCTTTATTGGTTTTAGTCCTGCTTGCTTGTTGTATTTAAACTCTAAATTATGATTTTGTTCGTTAAGATTTGGTTGGACACATAAAGGTTATCTAGGTAGATACAGCCATGCTATTTCTCCCATTGGTCAGGACTTCAGGAGCTTATCTGAAGGCAACACACAATGGAAGTACCTGTCCACTGCACACTGAACCGTTGGAAGGAAATCATGTATTCAGTTGTGACGGACCTGCATGTTGCTTAAAATCCCACTCTTTGCTATGCATCAGTCTCCAAGCAGAGATTCCTCTTAATCCAACAGTAGAGTGGAATTCCAGTGGGGAATCCAGCTGCAGTGGAATGAAATCCAAGACTGTAGTTGCTAGTGGTTTTGTCCATGCTCAGAAAACAGTCCCTATAAATTTTATGCTCTTAAAACTTTGTGACATATTGTTGTGGTGTCTTTGGCATATGATTGATTAGGTGCTTTTTTCATCACAGATGCTGTTCCTGTCCTTTGATACAGACCGCAGTGGCCGCATGTCCTCCTACGAGCTCCGCAGTGCTCTGAAAGCAGCAGGTCTGTCTCCATATTACACTGTAGAGTTTCAATAATAACCTAAATGTTGCATTAGCTGAGCACATAAACATTCAATTATTAGTGAAAAGCAAACAGCAGCCTTTGATGTGCACCTATTAGTCACTTAGGATTACTCCTATACTATAGTCCAGTTATTTGAGGGACCCTACAGGTTATTTATTCTATAAAAAACACTTTATTAATCCTTATATGCATATTAAGAAACTTGTTCAGTCTTTTTTCCAACTAAGAAATACTGCAAAGATCAGACAGATTTTAGTCTTTTCAGGACTTTTCAGAAAATTATTCATGCATTTGTCTCATCTCGTTTGGACTATTGCAATGCTATATATATATACTTGCCTTAGTCAAGGAGCTTTGGCAAGACTTCACTTGGTCCAAAATGCAGCTGCTCAGCTTTTAACGAAAACTGGACGTAGGGAGCACATCAGCCCAGTGCTCGCCTCTCTTCACTGGTTGCCAGTGAAATTCAGAATTGACTTTTAAAGTCCTGGTTCTTACTTATAAAGCTCTACATGGTGAAGCACCGGAATATATTTGTGAACTGTTAGTTTCTCATACAAGTACCAGGTCGCTGAGATCCTCTAACAAAGGGCTTCTTGTGGTCCCTAGAAGTAAACTGAAGCGAAGGGAGACTGTGCATTTGCTGTATGTGCTCCGAAATTATGGAACAGTCTTCCCCTCAATCTTTTAAGAAGCACCTAAGGACTTTTATTCTCTAGCTTTTTTGAGTTGAGATCATAGGTCATGTGTGTAGTAATGTTTATCTGTATGTGTGTGTGTTTAAATTTCTTTTCATTGTTTTAATTTTTGATTTAATTACTTTATTGTGAAGCACTTTGTAGCTTTGTTTTAGAGAAAGTGCTGTATAAATAAAGTTTACTTACTTCCTTATTTACTTATTTGATACATACATACACAATTATATACTGCTTTATATGCAGTTGTATACAAAGTTTGGGCGGCCCTGGTCAAATTATGTTTGGTTGATTTTCGTTTGCTATTTATTTGCTGAATTTAGCATATTTGGTGGGGGGACAGGAAAAAATAATATGTGACATATTTTATATTTTATGTTTCATTTTTTTGGATTAGCCAGAAATTGTGCACTAAACTTTGTGGAAAACACTGGATTTAAATTTGTTCCTGTAGAGAAAATCAACAAAACAACACGTTGTTTGATTGGGGATGTTCAAAGTTTCGCATACAAGTGGTTAACAGGACCTTTTACCATTGTTCTTTAAAGGTTGTCAAACTTAACCACAGATGATTTTAATATACTGTTGTGTTCACTACTATTAAAAGAGACACAGCTTTCGCACAAGTCGTGCTTGTTGGCCACAGCCACGCCGTACATCAGCAGAGTTTTCACTAACAGCTTGTTCGCTCCCCAGCTCTGACTCTCTTGTTTCTGACTCTTTCAGCTCTCTGCTCACACACATATCCCCCTGGGTGGTCCTAGCCCCGCCCTCCACAATTAGAGTCCTTAGCAAAATAACCCAGTAAACAAATGCTGGAGAACAAATAACCTCAAAATTAACATGGAACATTTCTTGCACACGCTACAGTGTATTGGAAGCATCAGCTTCCAAGCTATGCGTACTTTTCCTGATGTGTCACTGTTGATAAATGCATATCGCTGTTGTCAGAAGAAAACCTCGTATCTCCAAAATGAGAACTTTACAGGAGGAAAAAACCCACTTTACTTTTAATGTAAGTCAGTGGAACCAGAGTTTTTTCCAAATCATTTTAGTCATTTCTTTTAGTCCATTCATCATGAAATTTACACACAATGTAAAGGGTAACATATAGTTTCAAATTATGTCAAAAACTGAAAAACGTCAAAAATTGAGATTTTCGAGGTTTTCTTTCGACAACAGCGATATGAAGAAATGGAAATGGATGTGTTTAAAGTGTTTAGTGAGAAGCTCAGGGTTCAATTTAAGGGGAAATGCATGCTAGCTGCCATTGCTAGATTGCAGGTGAAGAAGGTCCACTAATAGTAATCCTCTTCGGAAAACGGTCATCAACCCCCTTTCATCTCCTTGCATTAATGTGATATACTTTGATGGACTGTGATATTTGTGTGAAATGCCCTGATGTCTGTTGAAGTTCTCTGTCATTGATAGTTGTATGTATTTGTTTTTTTCAGGGATGCAGCTGAATAATAAACTGCTGCAGCTGATCGCTCTGAGGTTTGCAGACGAGAACTACGAGATTGACTTCGATGATTACCTCACCTGCATCGTCCGCCTGGAGAACATGTTCCGTGAGTAATCTCACACTCCTTAACATTAATTTTAGATACTTACGTGATGATGCACAAGCATACATAGTATACTTAGTTTACATAGTTACAGAGCATTATTACAGTTACACCACAGTGTCAAAACGGATATGTAGATCTTTTTAATGTTTCATATGTTTCATATTATTCTATAGGGGTGTAATGATACACATATTCCCAGGTTATATGCGTTTTATATATATAGTTCTGGAGGATCATAAATGTGCACAGTTTTGTATTATCCATCCTTCAACACTGCTGATTTAGATATATTTGTTCATTTATTTTAAATTTATTTTCATTTTTAAATTAATGTTTCATTTGTATTTACTTATTAGCTTATTATTTCATATATTTAATGTCATGTTTTGCCCTCAGTATTTTCCAGCCTACAAAAGAAAATATGGACAACATGAAAAGTAACACATTGGCTCTAAACCCTGTTGTATTTGTTCCTTATAGGGGTTTTCAAAGCCTTTGACACGCGCAACACAGGAGAAATCACCTTGAACTTTCAACAGGTGGGCTGTCTCATGCTAATTTTTCATATCACTGCTGTCGGAAGAAAACCTTGTATCTCCATTTTTTACGATTTTAACATAATTTGAAAATACCTGTTACCCTTTACATTGATGAATTTACATTACACTGATGACCCTTTACATTAAATTTCATGATGAATGGACTAAAAGAAATGACCTAAGATGACTTCCATTGACTTACATTAAAAGTAAAGCAGGTTTTTTCCTTCTCATGTAAAGTTACCATTTTGGAGATACGAGATTTTCTTTCAACAGCAGCGCTATGCTTATGTACTAAAACATATGGGCACATGTTTTAAATACAAAAGACTTTCAGAACATCTAACTAATTTGAAGGGCTCGTGTTACAGAAAAAAACGAATTGTCATTATTTTCAGTAGTGTGTAAACCACCAGCACCACCAATTCAGGCTGAAAGTATTTCAGCCACATTTCATTTATTTTTGCATAAGGTGCAATACAGGACAGCCAGTGAGAACAGAGCTCATTTACATATGTCATTCTGAAAGATACAGTAACATAAAGAAGCCTGGATAAAGGGAGATTGAAAATGGATGTCTACAAATAAGCAAAAAAGAGCTGAAAAACTAAGCTTTTAATTGTCTTGTCTTCCTATACAGTTTCTGCTCCTGTCCATGAACGTCTGAAGGAGAGAAGAAAACCCCAGCAAGAAGAACAAAAGATGAACAGTTTAGGTCAATTGGCGCACAGTCTGAACTCATATGTTGCTTAAAGACCAACTTTGTGTTATGCAACAGTTTCCCGAGCACAGGCTCCTCCTAACCCAAAACTAAAGTGAGATTTAAAAAGGGAGTCAAACTGAGCTCACATTTAGTCCAGTCCTTTAGTCACTGCACGTTTTTTCCATACCCAGAAAACTATTTCTACACATTAGGCTGTTTACACTCATTGCTTTAGTTTGATCTGTTCAGGGTGTGATGTCTGTTTTTTCATACTGTGGTTATTGTTTTACAGATTGATACTGATTTATTTTTTTCCCCACATTTTGAGTTGGTCTGTGTTGAATAAAACAGTGTATTTGATTTGTCGAGAGTCTGAGGGGTGATCAACACAATTATGAAAATGACACCACAGCTGAACTGATTTTGAATGAAATTGAATGAGCTTGAACTGAGTTTGAATAAAATCGAATGGGATAACCCAAATTAGAATTAAACTGAAAGAAGTTAACCAATTTTGAATTAGACTGAACTAAGTTGGGCTCACAGCAAGAAGGGCCTGGGTTTGATTCCTGGCCGGGTGACCGGGGTCCTCTCTGTGTGGAGTTTGCATGTTCTCCCCGTGTCTGTGTGGGTTTCCTCCGGGTTCTCCGGTTTCCTCCCACAGTCCAAGGACATGCAGTCAGGCTGATTGAACGTGCTAAATTGCCCCTAGGTGTGAGTGTGTGAGTGAAAGTATGTGTCTGTCTGTCTGCCCTGCGATGGACTGGTGACCAGTCCAGGGTGTTTCCTGCCTTCCACCCAATGACAGCTGGGACAGGCTCCAGCACCCCCCGCGACCCAGAAGGAGAAGCGGCTTAGAGTGAGTGTGTGTGTGTGTGTGTGTGTGTGTGTGTGTGTGTATGAGAACTCAGTTGAAATGAAACTGAATTAAACTGAAATGAAGTAGAACTGGGCGTAAATGAATATGAGCATGAATTTCAATTAAACTGAACTGGGGTAAAATTGAATTGAATTGGGGGAGCCACAGTGGGTAGCGCAGTGAAAGGACTTTACAAGTGGAGTTTGCATGTTCTCCCCTTGTCTGTGTGGGTTTCCTCCCACAGTCCAAAGACATGGAGGGGTGTTTTCTGCCTTCTGCCCAAAGAGCGCTGGGATAGGCTCCAGCACTCCCCATGACCCAGGAGGATAAGCGGCTTAGGTGATTAAAGGAATGAATGAATAAATTAAATTGAACTAAAACCAAATTTTAGTAAGTTATATTGAATGGAGTTGAACGAAATTTGAATGAAACTGAGCTGAGTTTAAATGAATTTGATCTAAACCGAATGAAATGAAATTTGGGTTTAATTCAAATTTGAACTCATTTGAATTCAATTAAAATGAATTTGAATGAAACTGAAATGTTTAACTACATTTGAATGAAATTGAACTGAGAGATCAAAAGTTGGACTCGGTGTCTCGTGTCTGCGGAACGGCTGGCGGCATCCTTCAGATAAATATCCAGTACTTTAACGGCGTAAGGCCTGAGGCAACCATTTTCCAGTTTCACAGAAAAAACTTCAATCTTTCAGGTATGTAAGAGAAGAAGAAATGGCCTTTTATTGCTAAGACATTTGAGACTCAGTTGCATAAATTGAACGAAAAAAACTTGGTTTTACGTTTGGCATTTAGTGGTATTACCCAATGAGAATGATTACATTCAAATAAAAAACTACTGAGACAACACTGCTATTAAAGCCGATAATCACATGACTCCAGTTAAAATAGTTTTTAATCACTGAACCAGAACTTTCCTTTAATTTTAGAAAGTAGAAGGATGGATTTCACTAAAAAACAAAGAAATCTCACCTGTATGTTTCCTTTTTTCTACAGCAAACGGGTTTTGGGCAGCAGGAGGCGGGCTTTACTGCTAGAGCGTGATGATTGATTGGCGAGCTGAGCAGCTCATTGGCTGTTCGCGCTCACTGACGTCATGAACGTACATGAGGCGCCGTTTTAAACTCCTATAACTCGAGTTTAAAAGCTCTTAAAAACATAACAGCGGTGTTAATATTTTATGCTGCTCTGTGATCAGGAAATGAACGGATTCTTCTACATTAAAAATGTCTCCGCTCCTCTCTTCAAGTTCTCCGGCCTGATTCCTGCTAGCGAGTCGATGACGTGACCGTGACGTGGCGTGGTCCAAACCAAAATGCAGGTGATGCCCGCTAAACCCAGCGCAGCTCCGGGACATAAACACGTATAGAATTAATACGAAAACGTTAACTAAGCATTTAATTATTATTTCTATTACTCATAATGTATCAATATCAAGTAAGAAGACTCAAACGTGGTTTTCTATCATAACAGCTCCCCTCCGCTTTGCTCCTGTAGTGCAGTCCGGACATGGCCGAAACAGCATGTGCATCGACAGAAGCGAATCCAGCTGAAAATTTTACCTTTTAACCGCCTTTTTCTGAAGTTTGGGGGCTTTAAAAGTTCCGCGGGACGTAAAGGACAATAAGAAATAAAGTCAACAAGTCTGATTTGAACGCGCGGGTTCGCCAAAATGGTAAGTTTGTGGGCTGAATGTAGCTTCATGTTCGAATTGTCCCGGTCCACCTTAAATCGTGCTGTAGTTACATGCTGGGGCCCCGAGGCGTAGTATTAAGCGCTGCAGCATTTAAGGTGGAACGGGACAATTCGAACAAGAAGGAGCCAATAATAAGAAGCCGAGTTCAGCTTCGTTATTAGTTGCTTTTAGCGTTCAGATTTCAGTTACTAATATTTGCCAAATCCGAAATGCTGAATAATTTAACATGTTACGCTGTATTACAGTGTACAGATGATGTCATATGATGACTGCCACTATTAAATGCCATTTACATGAGAACAGTTGTTTATCAGTCTGGGAAAAACGCGTTTCCAACCCAGTCTAATTCGACTTTGTAGTAATTTTAGAGAAAAAATTTAATTTAATTACCAAGTAACTTGGCTACAGCAGATGTATTGCAGTACTATGCTGTACCCAGCAGGGGGAGACACTAAATACTTAATGGAAAACATAAGTAGACCTTTATATTTATTACATTACAGCCAAGATGTTATAATACAGTCAAGACAGATCAAGATTCAGTGCAGAATCTACAGTACAGCGAAGAAAATACTCCACACAGTATATTAACAGTACTGTTTACATTTCCATGGGGGCATAAAGCTGGAGTCAGAGGTTAAAGGTGGTTAAAGGTTTTTTTTCCCTTAATATTTGAGCTGTAAACAAAGTAGTTCAGTGTGAAATACTTCATTGTAGAGCAGTGGTCACCAGTGCTGCTCCTGGAGATCTACCTTCCTGCAGACTTTAGCGCCAGCCTTATTCGACCCCACCTGATCGATCTTAATATCTCCTTCAGGAATCCTTAATTAGCTGAATGAGTTGCGGTACAGGGGGGTTGGAAGTGACACCTGCAGGAAGGTAGATCTCCAGGAGGAGAGGTGGTGGCCGCTGTTGTAGAGAAACTTGCAGACCAGATGTCTTTACAGTGGTGCTGATGGGAACCAGGGGTCACAGTGTCTACAACACAAATATGGCTATTTTATTTGCTATCCAAAACCACCAGTGAACCTGTGTCTTCTGGGTTTTTATATGTAATGTTCATCATAATGGTAAAGTGGTGGTAGATTTGGTGGGGGACAAGAACTCTTTGGGTACTACTTTGTCTTACATCACCGTCCATGTACCTCTTCACCACGAATGGCTGTTTAGAAATATGTTTTAGGCCCAAACTCTATCTTAAAACGATGGTAAAACATATTAGACAGCAAATCCATAACCATAACGCAGAGTTTGTATTTTCACAGCACATCTGTGAACAATTCAGAGTCTCTAAGTTTCTCCAGCAGTGAGCATTTCACATCAAACCACTCTGAGTGACTTTGTTTACATCTTAGTGACTGAATTAGGCAGGAATTAAAAAAAAAAAATGTTGGAATTCCCCTTTAAAGGAACATGAAGTGAGCTGCTTGGGGATAGAAACTGTTCTTGAATCTTGTGTCTCCTACCAGACCTCCTGCTGACTCACTAGCCATACATTAGAATAGTGTAATCACAGCTTAATTTATTTTCAGAAGAGAACAGTCATTGTTGGGGGTTATTGTGATCATGACTGAATTACAGAGTGATGGTTTCAGCTCTTTCTGAAGGGCTGCTTAAAGGTGTAGACCCAACTGACATGCAGTTAGGCTGATAAACTAAGGTTATGTAGATTTAACAGTATCAGCGAAAATACTGCTAGTTACACTAATTTATTGTTATCAGTGAAAATACTGCTGATATGAACACCACTATTCATTTCAATATTGGTTGAGTCCAGTTAAGTAGAGATCAAGACTATAGGCAGCCTAAGTTTAGGCCAAACTAAGTCAAAGTCAAACTAAGTCGAAGTAAAAAGTTTTATTTCTCTTATGGCCAGTATGCCATGGCCGTCTGTAAACCGCCATGCTTGTGTGCAGGTGATTTCTCTTTACAGCTGTACAACACAATATGTACATAAGAAAAACACTTTTACCAGAAACCTGTACGTACTTCAGATGCATTGTAGCGACCAGCCTGCTCTCCTCTAACACCTCTCTCTTGTGTAAAGCCTCACAGGAAGAAAAAGTCATTCATAAGCAAGAAGAACGCCGTGTCGTTCCACCTGGTGCACAGAAGTCAGAAGGATCCATTGGCGGCAGACGAGAAAGCGCCTCAGCATGTCCTCTTACCAGCCTCAAAGGTGACACAAACTCACTGATAGTTTTTCAGGTGACTTTTGGGAGTCTTGAAGACATTTGATGTTGAAAAAGTGAGCATACAGAACCCGCAGTGTGTTGGTAAGCAGTAGGGGTGTCCAGTGCATCGATGAGTCTGACTCTAGCTGGTCAGTAGTATCAGATTTGGAATGTGGGAGCTCAGCTACATTTAATCCATCCCTGCAGTAAAACACCTACATTCGTGCACACTAGTGAACACACACACACACACACACACACACTAGGAGGCGGTGAGCACACCTGCCCGGAGAAGTGGGCAGCCCTATCCACGGCACCCAGGGATCAGTTGGGGGTGAGGTGCCTTGCTCAAGGGCACTTCAGTTGTGTCCTGTCAGCTCAGGGGGTCGAACCGGTGACCTTCCGGTCTGTGCAAAAGTTATTTAATTTTTGTTTTTATATACAAAAGTTATTTGGTTTTTGATATTTTTTTCCCCATTATATTCAACTCAGCAAATAAATAGTAATTGTTCACTAAAATTAGCAGAAAAATGCGTTATTTCAGTGAGTTCTCTGTAGAGGATGGGTTACATTTTTTTTTTCTCTTAAAAATCAATAGAACATGTAATTTGGTGTAAATTTGTATATGTGTGTATTTTTTTAGCCAGGTTTGTAATTCTTACTGAATGTAATTGAACTGTGGTGGAATTTGAGATTTCACAACATTTCGTAGAATCATAATCACATTGTGATGAGGTGGTAAGTTCATGGTAAGTTCTTTGTCATATTAAGCATGATTCTTGTTTCTTTTTCTTTCTGGTTAATCATCTATTAAAACGTAATAACTTCCACCCCTAAAACAAGTTATGATTAAATCACGGTGCGCTAGCAGCTATGGAAAAATAATAGTAACCAATAATATCATATTTCACTCCCCACCACCTCCACCTATCATCAAGAAAAAACATTCAGGTAGCTCAGAGGGAAAGGAAAATGAGCTAGAATTTCCCATTCATGCTAACTTTAAAGTATTAAGGGGAAAATATCTGTGTTTTGAGTTTTGAGAAAGGTTGTTGTTCTAAAAGGCAGAACTTGCAGTGCCTGCTGTTGTACTTGAGGTGTAGAATCTGTTCTTTCGCTGGGCCTACACTACACGTTTTTACCCTATTCGCGACTCAAAACGTTCATGAGTCCTGCAGTGCGAGAAGGTCAGAGTTTTACTCGACAGGTTATTCAAACAACAGCCAATCAGAGAGCTGGAAGAGCAGAGGAAAAAGGCGAAGAGACGAGCATAAACAGCGGAGCGTGGAAACAGAGGACCTGCATGTAAAACACAGGCAAATAAGAGCCGATATCATGTTTAGAATATGTGGATCAAGACGTCAAAGCACTCTTTACCGTTTCAGCTCAGCTGCCAGTTTGTAGTAAAATATTTCTCCCGCTCTCGCTGTGATATCAGCGTTTCTCACCACATAATAATGCACAAAAGCACAAACAGCTCCAGTCCAGTGAGTTTAGCTTTGTTTGTGTCATGTGATCTGAGGAGATCTGGGAGTTTAAGTTCTTATTCGTATTAAACACGTAAGAAACTCATTATGTGTTTAATCCTCTCTCTTTGCCCTGAAAGCAGATTAGACTCCAATGGCAAACATATTTCCTTAAGGTAGTGTGTGACGAATAGTACTATTACACCTATAAGTAATTAGATCACTTTTAACCTCCTCACTCTTAAGCATACTCTTGGTTGGATGTTCGTGGCTCAGAATAGAGTATGAAGGCGTTTTGTGTTTTGCAGGTGGAGACGGAGAAGAGAAAGGAGGAGCAGCGGAAGTTCGGGGTGTTTTTCGATGATGACTACGATTACCTGCAGCACCTCAGAGAGGCGTCCGTGCCCGCGGAGCTGGTCTCCGCCCCGCAACCTCGCCGAGACACGCGATCTGTGACCTTTGAGGAAGAGATGGAGGAGGAGGAGGAGGAGGAGGAGGGCGAGGAGGAGGTCATCACGATTCCTGTAAGGCTTACATTTGATTTCGTTTTTATGTAATTAGTTACTCTGTAAGATTTGCTTGTTAAAATTGAAAGAAGTAGCGTTAAAGTGTCAGGAGGAAAAACGTATGGTGTGCATGCACTGCTGAGGGTCACCCTGTAAAACGGTGTGTTGGGCCAGAGTTTTTCGGGCCACGTCGTACATCTTTACATATTAATGTCACTCAAACAGGCTCAAAATAAGGTCCAACTCAGTGTTTAGGTTTCAAAAGCAAAAACACTGTTATACTGATTAAGATATGATAATAATAGATCATTCACTCACATCCTCAGAGGACACGTCCTTCACCAAGGTACTCTTTCAGAGTGCTTGAAATCATCAGCGTCATCTGCTGGGGGAGAGCACAACCCAGCATTACAAAATGTTCTTACACATGTTGCGTGCAATTACACATTTCCACCAGAGAGGTCTCCAAATCCCCAAATATTATGTAGTGCAGCTCAAAGGAGTGACACTGTTGAGAGGAAAAATTAACAACCTGGCGTGATTTACTAATACCTGAGTTGACACCATGAACTTGGAAAAACTGCCTGTTTTTGACGCTAAAGAGAAAGAGACACGATTGCTGACGATGCCAAGGCATATGAGAAGACAGGGAGAGTGAAAGAGGAAAAAGAGAATTACTCTTCAAGGTTTTTTTTTTTTTAAAGCAAGTGTCTCCTTTTGTCTTTTAAAGGAGTGGTTTAGTTCAAATAAATCAAATTTACATTTTTTTTACTCACCCCAGATGTCTTGGTTAGCTACAAAGTGAAGTTTTGTTTATTTTATAGTTCACAGTAAGTCATAATGTAATTTAAACCATGTTGACAAGACCGTAATGAAGGACTAAACTAAATAAGCTGAATATATTCATTAAAAATGTTTGGCTATACTGTGCAGAAGTTCGTCAAACTGACGAGTAAGTTATGCAGAAAGCATATAGACCGGTTTAGCAGCCAAATATAGGTCTGGGCAGTATAATATATATTGTTGTCGTGATAATTTATGCCACATTACAATACAGTATGCCTTTCTGAACACATTTGTTACATTATGAAGAGAGCAAAATAGTCCTGTTTAAGTGGATTTAGTGTAGCATAATGCAAAATGCTGAATAAAATCATGTGTTCACAGTTTTTGATAGTATTTTTTGAAATGTGACACTACTGGTTCTTTTTTCTCTGTTCCAACTAGTCAGAAAAAAATGTCTGAAAAAATAAATATTGTCATATTGTGTGTAATGAAAATTTCTTGACGTATCATGACATTATGTTTTTGCCATATTGGCCACTTCTAGCTAAATATAAGATCCAATTTGTCAGTATTTATTGTCTCCACCTCTTTACAGCTTCTATTCTCTTCAGGAGACTCACTTGCAGTTTTTCAAAGAAACCTGCAGGGATATTTTTCACACCTCTGAAGTTCAGTCTTAGAAGTTGGTTGCATTTTCTGCTTCTCATGATTCAGTTAAGCCCAAACGCGTTCAGTGATGTTGAGGTCTGGACTCTGGACTGGTCAGTCCATTGTTCTGAGAAACACCAGCAGCTTCTTTGATTGCTTTGTGAATTTCTTCTTATGTCTATTTCTTTCTCTTTTAATCTCCTGAGAAATATCCTCTAAATAAGTAACTTGTACTTAAAGGCTATTTTGACTGGGAATTAAATAAATAATCCTGGCAATTAAAGTCTCTGACTTTTGCACAGTACTGAATATAAAGCGATAGAATGGTCAGTCGTAGTTACTACAACATTTATCATTAGGATGAAGTAATGAATATGATATGAATATTGATTTCTGTGGGCTCAGTAGAGAAAGTTTTTGTAGATGTCGATGTTGTGCTGATTCATGAAATTCATTTCATACAACAAATAAACATTTTGCATTGTAGTCGTAATGTGTAGCAGTGTTTTGTTCGTATCATGCAAACTTGGTTCAGAAGTCACATCTGAATCCTCTTCCAGAATTAGATGCAGGTAACAAAATAATGAAAGGCCCGTTTCAGCTTTGATGTGCTGCCCTCATGTCCTGTTTAACTGTGCTGTTTCTGTGCTGCAGGCAGCCTCCATCAACTTGCCTTCATCTGTGTTTGCATCAGAGTTTGAGGAGGAAGTGGGTTTGTTAAACAAAGCAGCTCCTGTATCAGGTGAGTGGATCAGGGGGCAAACGTCCAGTCCTTCCAGTGTATATCTCTTATCTTTTGACCTTCTGTCTCCCTGTGAATTTGATCATAAGTGTGGTGAACACATGCCTAGATCAGATGTCATTACAGATAATGACACTGCTCGCTCTCACCCAAGTGCTTCCAAACTCACTGGGCAGTGAAGATGGACAATGCTGTGAAAGCTACCCAAGACTTTTTTTTAAAGCAAATAAGTGGAATATTCTGCAATGGCCAAGTCGGTCACTCAACCTCAGTCCAATCGAGCATGCATTTCACCTACTGAAGGTGAAACGCTCCCAAGAACAAGCAGGAACTGAAGACCGCTGCAGTAAAGGCCTAGCAGAAACCCAGCATCTGGTGATGATTTGCAACCAAATATTTAAAAAAAATAACTGGTCCCAGTTATCTTTGAGCTCCTAAAGGTAGCCGGGGGGGGCTGTGTATGAGAATGGTTGTAATTCCTACACTTTTCACCTGATTTGGATGTGAAACCCTCAAATTAGAGCTGAAAGGCTGCACTTTGAGCTCATGTTGAACTTAAGTATGGTGTGGCAGAACTATAATAATACATTTTGTTTGTGGCTCTCCTTGCCTAAATCAGCCTTAAGGGACATGATGAAAAACTTTGAGGTTGCTGTTTCTTTCCTTTTCCTTTCTTCTCTTTTCGGTAAGTCGTGTTGGTGAGGAAAGACATGTCGACTCTGCATGACACCACTTTTTGGCCAACTGTTTCCTTCCGTAATGCGACGTGTGGAAATAGCATCCTTTTCGTAGTGCCACTTGTGCAGTGGCTGTTGTAGTAGGAAATTGCTTCACCTTCACACGTTGGAATACAGTACTTCCCCATCGATTAGCACTGTCTGTCAGAGCACTGATTAATAAAGCATTCGCAGCCTGTCAAAGGTTTGGGCACAAATAGTTGTTCAAAATATGTATGTGTTCAATATATGTACATGTTGTCTTTGTCTGTTTACAATAACTTTACAGATTAAACAAAGCAGAATTGTTTTGAGGAAAATTGTATCTGAAATGTATGTATTTGTTTTACTCAAAATAAATCTGCTGAGTCTTTAACATGAATTTGTTTTCAATCTGGAAAGAAAAACTCGCTCAATTATTTTGAAACGTTTATTTTTAAAAAGCTAGGTGTCCTCAAGGATTTGACAGACAGTATCAATATAGTCTATTAAGCTATAACAGCGGTCACCAGCCTTACCCACAAAGGGCTGGTGTGGCTGCAGAGTGACCAACTGATTAAATAAGTGGAATCAGGTGAACTTTTGCTTGTTTGGAGTGAAAACCTACAGCTACGCTAACCCTGTCCAGGTAAGATTGGTGACCCCAATCTGTAGCATACAGTTGTATGCAAAAGTTTTAACACTCCTGGTCAAATTATAAGTCTTATTTATTTATTTATTTATTTATTTATAAGTTAATATATCGTCTACAGGAAATAAACTTTTAATATGCCATCTTATGCACATTTTAGTGCATACTTTCTATTTATTTGCTGAGTTTAACATATTGGAAAAAATTGAAATATAAAAAAAAATTAAAAGCTTTTGCACAGGACACATTTTATTTTTTTCCTAATTTGTTAAATTCAGCAAATAAACAGTTTAAAAAAACATTAAAAGGAAAAAAAAAAAACTAATTTGACCAAGGGTGCCCAAACTTTTGTCTGTAACCGAAAAAAAAATTCGGGAGTCCATCCAGTCCTCTACAAGAAGAAAAATCTAGGTGCCTCTGTGTCATATAAGAGCTTTTTATACCATGATGTGAAGGCATGTAGGCAGAAACAGCTTAAAATCATGAATCATTATTTAATTACAAAATTAAATACTTCGAATTGGTCTTTGTTTTCCAACTTCCTGTGTTTAGCCCATTAAAAATACAGCCCTCTTCCTCTGACAGGCCCGAGGCTGGATTTGGACCCTGACATTGTGGCAGCGCTGGATGACGACTTTGACTTTGATGACCCAGAGAACATGCTGGACGATGACTTTGTCATTCAGGCCAATGATGTAATGCCAGGAGACGGCAACGTGGGGTGAGGAGCTGATAATGAAAACAGTGGACTTTTTATACAGGAATGAAAAGTTTAGAAAAATATTTTGAGAGCTGCAAAACAGTAAACACAGAAATGCCAAATCTATAACTCATGGGTGTTATCAGACAAAATAACAGTGAAAGGGGAATTCCACCAAATTTTCAAAATCTCTGCATAAATGAGTGTAATGTATACAAAGTCAGTCAGAGTGGTTTGATGGGAAATGCTTGTAGAGAAACTGCTCTGATTTCTTTACAGTGGTGCTGATAGGAACCAGGGGTCACAATGTCTACAATACAAATACAGCCATTTTATTTACTATCCAAAATCACCAGTGAACCTGCACGAGTCTTCTGAGTTTTTATATGTAATGTTTATGATGGTAAAATACTAATGAGTTAAAATGAATAAATGCTTTCTTTTGCCATGAACACAGTAAAAAAAATGTGTTTTGAGCCAAAACCTTCTCGGAACTATTGTGAAACAGTGTCTCAGACGTCAGGCAGCGTATTCACAACATTTTATGCAATAGCTTTTTGTGAGGGTGGTTTTAGAGACATTGAAATCCTGAGACGTCTGGTTCCTCTCACCACCATTGTGAACAATTCCAACTGGGTATGTTTCTCTAGATCAGAGCATTTCACACCAAACCCCTCTGAATGACTGATGTTTACATCTTAGCGATTTAATAATGTAGAACAATTGAAAAAAACAGTGGAATTCTCCTTAAAGCGTTTGCACATTTTCCAGTAGATCTGTAGACTTGAAACAAGTCAGAAAACTTCACTGGGTAAACAAATTCACAGACTTTGTTAACCAAGCGATAAGAATTTGTGGTGCCTGCCTGCTGATAACAGATTTAGTATGTGTGAAGAGGCCGTAGCGACTAAACAAAGCTAGAGCTGCGGTGGGTTTTGTTAGAGCTGCAGTCGCGCCACTGATGAATGACGCTCTGGAATTCTACAGCGACGAGGGTGATGATGATGAGTGGACGGATGAGGACGAGAGCGCAGAGGAGGAAGAGGACGAGCAGAACTACGACTCGGCAGGCGGCCTGTCGGAGGACGATGGCGAGTACGAAGGTGGCGAGCGTCAGTTTGCGTTCATGGACTGCGAGACGAAGAGCCGCTTCACAGAATATTCGCTCACCTCCTCCGTCATGAGGAGAAACGAACAGCTCACGCTGCTCGACGAGCGCTTCGAGAAGGTAAACTAGAGATTAGAAAGAGCTTAGAGAGACTAGAAGTTGACGCAGGTGCTGGAGGTTAAGAAGTATATTAAGTGTTTGTTTGATTGATTGATTGATTGATTTTATTTATTTATTTATTTATTTATCTGGAATGCCTCATATTTCTACCGTGATGATTAACCCTAAAGACAGAGACCTTTACAAGAAATGAATATGAAAAACTATGTAATTTAGAATGTATCAACTTTATACTTGAATAAAATAAATATTAATAACTGTCAACTATTAATGAAGGGATTCCGGACTCTTACAGTACTGTTGATATTGTTTGTACACACTTCACATTAAATGATGGTTCTTCAAGGGTTTTTTAGTAAAGGAAATGGTTCTGTATAGAACAATCAAAGAACGCTTCACATGATTGAAGGGTTTTTGCATCATGAAAATGTCCTTCAGATTGATGGAGAATGTGTTGTGTGTGTGGTTCTATATAGAGCCTTTTTGAAAAGGGTTCTATATAACACCAAAAATGGTTCTTCTGTCATAACAAGCTTGACAACATAACAATAAAAGAACCCTTTTCAAACAGTTTGCTATATAGAACCATCTACAGCGCATTCTCCACCAATCTGAAGAACCATTTCACGATTTACAGAACCCTTTAATCATGCAAAGGGTTCTTTGAGTGTTCATTGTTCAATATAGAACTAATTTCTTTGCTAAAGAACCTTTGAAGAACCATCAGTCGTGTGTAGGCAAGACAAAGCAAGTTTATTTCATTCGCTGTGGTCATTCAAAGTGCCTTACGAGAAAATACAAAGTTAAACTAAATTTTAAAAAGGAACAAAGCAGATGAGAATGTAAATTAAAACGTGATTAAATATGATTAAAACAGTAGATTTTAAAAGAGAAGAAATGAATCGTTAAATTAAAAAGTTAATTAGAGTAATAAAGTGCCGTTTCAGCGTAGAGGTGCAGCACAGCTGCCATAGTTTGTTGTTGTGTCTCACTATGATTGCTGTCGTGTGTGTTTATAGTTCTTTGAGCAGTTTGATGATGATGAGATTGGTGCGCTGGATAACGCAGAGCTGGAGGGCTTTATTGACCCCGGCAGCATGCGGCTGGAGGAGGTCATAAAGGACTACTTCAAACAGAAGGAGAAAGAGTGAGTGTCCACTGCTAGCAGATCACAGGGTCTTATCTGTGTGTGTGTGTGTGTGTGTGTGTGTGTGTGTGTGTGTGTGGTGGGTGGTGTGGGTGTGTGTGGGTGGGTGTGGTGGTGTGGTGTGTGTGTGGTGGTGGGTGGGTGGGTGGGTGGTGTGTGTGTGTGCTGTACACTTTAACCCTATTAAGGGAAAAGCTATATTTTATCTGTGGGTGTGTTTAGCATGTACAGGATGATGAAGCATAATCCTAGATTGGGGTGGGCAACATGATGATAATTCATCATTATTGTGATAAATTATGTTACACAAACACAGTTTGGGGAATGAAGTGGAACAGCAGACGGTTCTGTTTTTAAAGCACAAAAAAAGGAACATCTTTTGAAAGATGTCCCCCTACCTGGTATAAGAAACCACCCTGGCATTAAATTGGTCATCTAAGTACAAAATATATAATTTGTCAAATCATTTCTATCCTTTGCATTCTTCCTAATCAAAATTCAACACTTAAAAAACGATATTACTTTTAATGATTGCACTTAATGATGAGCTAAATATCATAATAATGATAATCTAAATATAGTAATGACAAAAGAAAGAAAGTAAAATATAAACTTCATATTTGTTCATCAATTAAATAGTTATTGTGGTATTAATTACACAACTATATGGAAATTAATCTCATTATTATTATTATAACAAGGCAATAATAACAATTTAAAGTGTAAATATAAACTCCAGTCTCACACAAAATTTGCAAGTTGTCCAAAAATGTACCGTAATTCTAGGTAACGATCACTAAAGCCAGCATGTAACGCTAATGCTGGTAAGTCAGCGAAACTTTTTTCAGTTTTTTTGTGGAATAAAGCCGAGTTCTAGAGGTTTTGATGATACTGGTGTTGATAGATACCACTACAATATTGTCATCTTGCTCACCACTATTCCTGAGTTTTCTGCTTGCTTGGTGGTGTTTATAACGCAGTAATGCGTATCCTGTTTGAGGCGCGAGTGTGTCTGTTATTAATGTGTCCTGATGGTTAACTGTGTCCTAATGGTATTGTAGGTACCAGAAGCCGGAGCAACTGGGTCCGGCTGAGCTGCCCTCAGTGAAGGAAGAGGAGGAGGATGATGAAGTACAGGAGATGGAAACGCTGGTTATTGAAGAACCGCCTGCAGAGAAATGGGACTGCGAGACCATCATCAGTAAGAGCGACAGTGCCGTACATTCACCTACAGGATTAAAACTAAGACTGGCGCCATGTGAATACAGCACTGAGTCATCAGTTTAGATTGTTGTGAACATTTTCTCATAATACATGCATAATATAACATGAAGTCTACAGGAATCTGGCCAGTTTACTGACCTTAATGTCCGAACTCAGTTGTCTTTATGTAATGGTGTTAAAGATATACAGTAATGCGTGAACACAATTTTAATAATACTGATGCCTTTTCCAAGTCGGCCCTTCAATCCATACATAGTTCCAGTCTAAAGCCAAGCTGTTCACCTACCATTGCTGTGATTCTGTGACTGTAGTCCTGTCCCTCAAATACAGCTTTTAAATGATGGCTGCAAGTTATTCCTAGCTGCTGCCGTAGTAATCAGTAACATTATTACTGGAGGAGCAGACTAAACTGGACTGCCCTCACGGGAGACCTGTGGATAAATCAGCAAAACCCTACAGAGCTGAAACATACAGACACTGATGAAAACTGGAAATTGCATTCACCTTATTTTAATGTTTAGGCTCGTGTGAGCTCTGAGCTCACCTGGTGAAAATGTTATTGAGTGTTAGAAGTAATAAATATACCCTGAGCTTCGTTTGTCCACTTATATAGCTGTAACAACATGCGCTGCTTTTTAAACGAAACAACAAAAATATAACAATTCAGATGAAATCTGAGCAAAGAAGACAAATATGATTAGTTGTGATCAATTACACTAAATTATGTGATGTATTTGGTTTTGCATGATCTGTTATTGATTAATGAAATCTTCATTCTCTTTCAGGCACATACTCAAATCTCTACAATCATCCAAAACTGATAGAAGACCCACCTAAGGTAATGTTTAATATGCATACAAGTGATCTGTTTCATAACTGCGAGTACACAGGCTGTGTTGATTCAGAAAGGCTGCACCTTCTTTACATAAATAAGTCTCTTAGTCAGCTGCTTCCAGTTTTCTGGTTGGTTAATCCCCAGTTTGTGTTGCAGCTCAAGCAGATCCTTGTGTCCAATAAGACTGGAATTCCTCTGGATGTTCTGCCTAAGAAGGGGCCGACGGCCAGACAGGTGGAGCGGATGGAGAGAATAAACGACTCTGATCTGCCCAGAGCGTCCACACAGCCTCGCTCACGAGAGGAGAGCAAAGAGGACCGTAAACTCAGAAAACAAGCTATTAAAGAGGAGAGGAAGGTACTTTACGTGTGTGTGTGTGTGTGTGTGTGTGTGTGTGTCTGTGTGTGTATTTTAGGGGTGAATACCTTTTTCCTCAGCGTAATTTGATTGATTTTTGGGCAATTATGTATGCAACAGAATATGCAAGAAAATACCATGATTCAGTTTGATTACATTAGTCTGATTCAGAACTAGCGATGCAAATTTAGGCCAGTTCTTTTATAATCAGCCGTCATTAGTGATTAATCGTTACCCAGCAAGTCTAAAATCAAGAATGAGAACTATAACGTGTTCATTATTGTAAGACCAAAAGCTAACAGTCCTCTTGAAAAGTGGTCCTGAACACCACTATTTTTAGCTGCGCTCTTCATTTTTCACTAGGTCTTTCTGGAACTACTACAAGTCAAAACTGTTTCTCAATGTGAATGAAAAACTCACCTATTTAAATAGAAACTGATGTTTTTTTTAATTGGAAATTAAATTAATTAGGGATACACAGATTTTGGGAGTTTTTGGGTCAATGTTGATAACTTTCAAGTACATGTCTGCTGATGCTGTTATTTAAACATTTTATAAAATGTAGAAATTTGATGAAATCCATCTGCATTAGCATTACAGAGAAAGGTAACATTTATTTCTGTTGGGTTACAAATGCAGTAAAATGAATAAAATATAGATATATTAGTGCAGAAGCCCAGTGTCACTTAAATGTTCTGCTCTCCCAGAGGACATCAGTCATGTCAGTGGATGTAGGTATGAAATATTGGTCAAATCTAAACATCTGTCTGATGCCTATATATATATATATATATATATATATATATATATATATATATATATATTTTCTTAATTTCTTTCTTTTTTTAATGAAATTATCAGCGCTCATATGATTTGATATCATGCATCATTTTTTTTTAACAATTACTTGAACATTTGTTTATTTGTCGGTTAGTGGTTAACTGGTTTTTCATTTACATCATATTCAAAACAATTTTTTAAAAACACAAACAAACGTGACTGGTGCAGCTCTACACAGTGGTAGAAGATTCACTGGAATATACACAATGCAAACAAGATTTTTATGACCGGTCATTTTATTTCGGCCATTTATTGAATGTAATGTTTGAAAATGCAGTTGATCAGCTCCTCCAGGTCGCTGCACTTTTACACCTCTAGCCTGGAACCTTTTGGTTGTATCTGCTATGCACTGTTGCAAGAAGTGGCCAACCCAGACCTTAAGCAGCATGTTCAATACTAAAGCACTGCAGACAGAGAGAGCATTTATAGTTACTTGCCAAAACAAATGAGGAAGCTTCTTTACAATGTACCTCTGTCTGAAAATCCTACTTCTGCCTTTTCTTTAAAGTTTAGAAGTTAGATCAAAGGTGGGTTCTAGCTCCCAGCCTGGTGGCCTTACTTTTTCTTCAGTGGTAGAATCAGCCAGCAGATGGCGATATACAGTATGTATCCAGTACAGCATCGCAGACTTGATACAGGACAGCTGAGACCCAGTTTCTGTGAATTTCGTGAGGGAGATGAGTGAATCACACTGTTCCTTTAACTCAGGAAGTGAGTTTTAATTCACATTACTAAGACACTGATATGTGTGTCTTGCCTTCATTAAGGCGTTTCAAAAATAGGATTGCATCAGAAAGTGTTAGGTTTGGTTCTTTTTTGCCAAATGATGACACTTGATGGGATTTATGTTGGCAGAAACGTGCATAATATAACCTCATCAGAGTTTCACTGTGAAAATGAACAAGCATACAGGGTAACGTGTCATATAAGTGACTACAGTCTTTTAATACTGTCTGCTTGTCTTCGTTTTCCTGCAGGAGCGCCGGATGGAGAAGAAGGCCAACAAGGTGGCATTTAAGCAAGAGAAAATGATGCAGGAGAAGCAGATGGTTAGCCTGAGGGCTAATGTACAGGGCATGAAGCTGTCATAGCCTCAGTGGACACAGACAGATGGGACTTTGGAGGCGTTCAGTTCTCTGTATGATTTTCACAGAATAAATGTGTGTGTATATACAGCATAAAGAGTGGAGGCACTGCTGTCAGCTCCCTGCTCTGAGGCGGCTTCATTGGGTGGTGCAAGATTTAATACAGACGAAAGCAGTTCATGTGCAGACGTGGCCTGTTGGTGGTCAGACATACATCAGAGACTGAATTCTCTCAGTGAGGATGGTTTGATTTGTTGGATCGGCTGCCGTGTGAGGCCTAGCCTCATTACCTCATGATATAAAGTCAGTTAATAGTTAATTTGAATAACATCTTATCAGGGATTTCAATCTGTGTCTTTCACTCCACCCACTTCTTGTTTGTTACGGGAAGTCAAACCTGTGACAATCTAGAACTTTGAGTCAGAGTTCCATACTGGAACGCTTCAGGTGTTTTCGATTATTGCACCACAATGGACAAGTCATAATGGGCGGAGCTACAGTTCTGAAAGTGTGCCCTTTTTTATTTTGGTAGTTAAAGTGATCTGAGTATCTGTAACACTGGTTGCCCTTCATACTGAATGGCAGAAATGTTCATCAAACATAAATTAAAACGAATTACCTGTTTGTGAATCAGTTCTTTTATTGAGCCGTTTCATGTTTTAGTCTAGAATACAAGACAAGCTTTAACATGATGAACAGGATGAATCTGTTTATAACAACGCAAAACATGACAATTCTGAATATACACAGGAAACTTGTTAACGTTTACAATATACATCAATGAGTGTGTTTACATGCACTCAGTAATCTGATCATAATTGGATTTCTGCTTCTGATTATTCAAATGGTCATGTAAATTGTATACTCAGATTTCTTAGATCAGAGTAAGGTCCAGAAATCTGGTTAAGAAATCTAATAGAGAACTGGAGTTGAGCTCAGTAATCAGATCTCTCAGCGCATGTGTACCCTTACTCTGATTTCTTTCGGCTTCCTCAGTCTGCGCAAACAGACCGCTGTGCCGAAAAAAAGCAAGCGAGACGCAGCAAAACACTTTTGAAACCAAACATGCTTGACGAAATGAAGGATTTAAATATTCTTCATCTTCTAAATGATGCATGTTCATAGTTTCAGGTAAAGTGGCGCAATGTTTTGTTAAAGCCGCGGCACGAAGTTTGAGTTCACGTCTTCTTCTGTGAGTTTATTGGCTGGTTGCAAAGCAGAAATCTGATTACTGCCTGACTCATGTAGACCTGGAGTTTCCCCATTATCTGATTACCCAAGTGAATGTAAACACATGGATCGAATTACTGACACAATCTGACTTTCTGCAGTTATCAGATTATTGAGCGTATGTAAACACACTCAGTGCTACAATATGAGCAGCTGGAAGATACTGATTATCTTTTCTATGTGATTTACAGTGCCTCCCTACTGAGAGGTGAAACATGAATATGAAATGGCCTGTAAATCCCCTGGTAACATTAAATATGACTGTTGCTTACAGGCAGTATCAATCATCTATAGGAACCTGCACTGTCCTGGTTTCATAGTACTTCACATAGAGCTGCCTTAAAAAAAACATTCTTTAAAAGCATCGTTCTTTACAGTACAATATTTCTACACATTTAATACCAACTCCTTTTTTACTGCTCATTTTATATACAGTGCTATTTGAAAACAGATGATTTTTACATTGTCTAAACATTTCATGATGAACAGAAGCAGGCCAGAACGACTTGCAATAAAAGTGCATTAATGTACATTCCAGTTAAGAGCTCCTATAAAGATGTGATTTCAATATGACAGAAACAATAACGCAGCCTGAAAGCTACCGTTCACCTTCAGCTTAATGTCAAACTGCTTAGTGTATAGCAGTCAGTATATAATGCCATGTGACCTCTGCCCCAGTCTTTATTGGGACAGTAATAAAAGTGCACTCCCTCCTCCAACTGTGCATGCCTTTACAGTCTTTCACATTCAATTCACTGGTCCTGTCTGGTCACAGGTAATCTCACTGACTATGTTGGGAGGATTGCTAATCTGGAGCCAGATTCAATTTTTGTCCACACTTCAGCTCCTACACACAAACGGCTTGTCTGAGTCGTCACAATGAGCAGCAGTTCAAACAGCAGAGGTGACAGTAGATGTTATTAAGTGCTATTTACTGTTTTTGTGATTATGAAAAATGCTGAATTCCCAGAGGTGCTGGCAGCAGGAAAGCAGTCCAAGAGATGAACCAACATCACAGAACGAACTTAAACCAAAAAGACACATAGGAAAACTGTAAAAATACATTCCTCAATATACTTGTAAAAGTATTGTAATAAAAAAAAAGTAATAAAATATACAAAACATCAAAATGTTACTGCATTACAGGGGTAACGATAAATTCCACAGTATGAATTGCATCAGAATACTAGGCACATATACATTTTCCTGTTTGTTTTGGTTATAGTCCAGCTTTAATGAGCATAAGTGACAGCCCTTTTTAAAAGACAAGTACCTGTTTCACAATCGCCCTATAAAAAAATGAATATTAACACCCCTAATATGTATGTAATACGAAGCTGCAGATAGAAAAATCATTTGGAAGTCAAGTGTTGTCCCCTTAGATACGTACATCGCACCTATACAATCCAATTCCTGAGCAACTCTAGTCCATGTTTTTCTTACATTCAAGCTTGTGGCACACCTGCACCCTCAATTAGCTGGTAAAGGTGTACTGGGAAATGGAATAGAGCAAAACATGAAGGTCATGCAAGACTGGATTGTGAAACTATTCTTAGACCGTTCTACTGACGTCTTATCATCAGATACTTAGAGCGCATCTATTTTCCCAGTGACGTGAGTGACATGGCTTAAAACATCATCTGTACTCAGCAATGGTTCTTTTTAAGACCATTTTAGGCAACAAGGTGTTCACATCTTACTTAGAGACTTCAAACTATTAAGGCTGCAACAGCTAATCGATAAAGTGATGAGCTGTGAACAGTGACAATTCTGAAAAACAGTGATGCGCAAATGTGTTTTTATGCTGTAGTATTCCTATGACACACCTGGACTGTGCTTGAAATAGCATACTGTACTACAATATGCTAGGAATGTGCACAGGTACCTGAGTATATGGGTTACTACTGTTCAAGATGACGGTATTTGAATACCGACATCACTTTTTCGGTATTTGTTCCGGCTCATTACGGTAATGGCAATGAAATGGAGACTAACAGTTCAATGAAGCGCACCTTCCACATTTTGACGAGATGATTTTGCTTGTATTTGGGAGTAAGTATGTATATTACACTGTGCCACCCAGAGGAAAGGTGTTGCTAAGGATGTGATTGAGAAACAGACTAACTGGGCAATGTTAACTGGTACACTGTTAGAAATAAAGGTGCTGTGCAGGTACATTCTTTGTTCATCAAGGTATAATGTAAATGTTCCCTCAAAAGTACAACAGTGGTTTTGAGGTCCGATAGTGAACCTTAAATAAGTTTCTCCAAGTGAAAAGTACATATTTGTACCTTTTCACAACTTAATGTTTTAAAACAGAACAATGAAATAAAAGCCTGGAGGCGAGACGGGGTGTGTGGAGTCAGTACAGCTTAGAAAATATCATTTCGGTGGATCATGGTACAGTTATGTTCCCTGACTAAAGGTACTGAGATGTACACTGGAGGGTACCACCCCAGTGATGAGGGGTCCTGCCCCAGTGACAGTTTCATGACTTTTTTTTCAGAGAATGTACCAGAAACAGCAGAAATATATTTCTCTGACAAATAACATGTTGGCACATTGTCTACTGTAGTCTTGGATACACTACATGACTTTTACAGTCCTCACAGATTATAAAAAGACTGGGCATCTCACACTATCAGACTGTTTTCTGCAGATTTTTTTGGTCAACTGAAATATTGGAGATCACACACTACAACTTTTAAGCTCTTACTGACTCGAAGCAACCTCACCAAACTCGTGTTATTGGAAGACGCAAATAAACAAACATGGAGCGCCTGCTGTTCTGTTTGTGCTGCCACAGTAAAGAAACATTTAAGTGAGGATCATGGATATAAAGATGTGATTGGTGTGGTAGTTTTTAGAGTTTTAGATGTACATGAATTAAACGCAGTTCATTAAAAAGCTTTGTTATGCATGTCTCTTCTTATTTTTCTTTTTGTGTGAGCTCAGTTTTCAGTGGCTGCTGGAGGAGCTTGTTGTAACTGAGTCGTTGAGATTATGCTCAAGAGTCAGCTGGAAAAAAACAAACATTTGATGGTCTCCGACTGGTCTGAATGTGATCGGGAGGCCGAAAAACAGACACACTACTCGATTTAGTCTCCCAACTGTTGACACCGACTCTCTCACAGGAGTTCCAGCCTTCAAGCTTAAAGCAGAAATCCTCCCAAGATCTCTTCCCTCAGTCATTCAGTCTCTCACACTACCATCACACGCTGAAGGAAGGGTCCAAACCAGTAAAACGATCATCAGTTGCAGCCCCACAATCTACATCTTTGCATCACAAAGTTCCACCAAAAGTTTAATTTCTTTTTTGTCTTTTTGTCAGTATGTTCTTCCTAGCAGATGGAGCTCCAGTAGATTTTAGACTATCAATTATCTCACAAAGCCCTTCGAGTTGTGTAGGCATCCACAGTGTCCCCGGGGCTAATTTCAATGAGGGCATGAGGTCTGTCGTAACCTGACGACAAGCCACCAGTTGACATCTCTGCTCCATTACCGTAAGGACCTGTATGGTTTTCTTCCACCTCACCGCCTTCTGGTTCCTTTCTAAAGTCATCTTGACCAAAGGAATAGCGAGGTCTAGGGTCGGGTGGGCTAGAGCTTCTTGATATATCATCGTTGTTGGGAATTATAGTGACAGGTGTTACTTGCAGATATTTCTCAACACATTCAGGATCCGGGATTAAGGGCTTGATCAGGTTTGGGATCTTGTCCTTCTGCCAAACCAGAAAGTACATTAAGCACAGAATCAAGCATGAGTATGAAGCATTAGAGCCAACATTTTAAAAGATACTTTACAATCATATTCAGTTGTATGCAAACGTTTGAAGTTTTGTTGATTTGTTGAAATTAACACATCCTCTACAGAGAACACACTTTAAATACTGCATTCACCTGCTAATTTTGCACAAGTTGTATTTATTAGCTGAGTTTAATATGAAATATAAAAATGTGTCATAACTTTTGTGGCAAAGACCATATTTTATGTTTTTTTTCCAGGATGTTAAATTTAGCAAATAAACGGTAAGTGTGTATTAAAATGTGCAGAAGTGTGTTGTCTGTAGAGGAAGCGTTAACTTACTTTCACTTAGAAAATCAACAAATGTCAAATTGTTATTTGATCAATTACACGCAAACTGTACTCATTTGACTGTTTAGGTCATGGAAGACCTAATTTAGTGATGTAGTCTGAATAAATTCAACAAATATTAACATTAATCTAAATATTTCCCTTTAAATCTGATATTTGGGGATAATTTATAAATGATTTTTAATCCAACAGTACTTACTGACTAGTACAAACCTCAACCCCAAAAAAGTTGGGAAAATGTTAATTAGTTAATCAGCACATTTAGCAGGGCTCCCATGATTTTCAATTAACCTGCATGGGGAAGCTAGCTGAATTTAGCCGTCCCACAGCAGCAGTAATTAGCTGAAACCAAAACTACATATGAAGGTTTGCTAATATAATGAATAGTGATGGGTGTATTTTTCATGTTAAAACTTACCAAAAAGCCTGGTAAATTGGAGAGACTTCTCTCCTTCATTTTCCTGTTGATTACCTTTGCCAGAAAGAAGGCCAAAGATAACGCACAACACGCTAGAAAAATGAAGAGTGGAATGAGGTATATAGGGATTGGTACACCTGTAAAAGAGCCAAAGACAAAAAGAGATAACCTTCATTAGTCTTCAAAAATGCATATAAATAGATGTATATCAGGCTCTGTTTCTTACTGTAAAAAAGCCCAGTAGGAGATTTTAAAATGTGCATTAACAACTTTAACCTCACTTATAAGGGCCTTAGTTTAATCAGCAGTTTAAACTAAGGCCCTTATTAATGGACAGAGTGAAAAGAAGGGACTTTGTGTCAATATAAAGACTACTACTACAATTATGACAACAAGAAAGACTGCTAACTTTTCCATTGATGGAGAAGATGTGGAAATGGACAGCTTTCTCCTACTCAGACGAATTATATGACACAGATTTTCACTTAGTAGAAAAGAGCTTGAAAAGATCTTCAAATGCAATGATTTGTCAAACAAAGGACCTCATTCACCAACTGTTCTTAAGAACCCAACTGCACAGTTTTCACAAAGATTCTGACATTCTGCAGGGTTTTCTTATTTGGGATTTGTAAGAACAGAATCTACACACACTCAAGAGCACAAAGGTGTGGATAATTATGCATTTTAATGACATGTCATGAATCTGACAGACTTTTTCTGAGAACCTTTCTCAAGAACGCATTTAAGAAAAAAACCTAAAAAGATATTGGTGAATGAGGCCTAAACTTCAGAGCTGCCCAGGCTGTGGTCTTCTGTCTGTGGTTCTTTATGGATGTGAAAGCTGGGCAGTAAACAAGCAACAATATAGATGCCTTTAAACTTGTGGTGGAGTGGACAAAGACTTTTGAAAGGACCTTGGCCACCAAAAACAAAGAAATGGATCCTCCAACAAATCAAGCCTCAGTTCTCACTCAAAACCCAGATAACCCAGTCTTATTTTGGAAATGTGGACATCATTGGAAATGACCGTTATGCTTGGAAGTGTTGAAGGTAAAAGAAGAAGAGGACGATCAGTAAGAAGATGAATGCATACAATCAGAGGAGTCATGAACCAGCCATTCAGATGCCTGAAGACCCAAACAGAAGACAGGATATTCTGGAGAATCACTGTCCATGTGGTCATCAGGAGTTGGAAATGACTTAGTAGTAATAATAATAACTTAATAATAATAATAATAATAATAATAATCATCATCATGCAAACTGCAACTGTAAAACGTGCAATTACTGACTACTTATTAAGAGGGTACCCTTTAATATTTTTTAATTGTGACCACTCTAAATCCTTTAAAAGTTTGGAAATTTGCCTTGATGGTTGCATGAGCCTTTCATCAAGCATTCTGTCCACAAATGTCAGCAAAGCTGTCGTTGATGTATTTGTGCATATACTCACTGGGCCTAAGGCTGCCACGATAACACAGATGTTTTGTTTCCTCGAGTTTGGTTTGTCTGATAAATCCAGAGAGTTCCACACAGTATTCCTCTTGCTCTTCCGGGAATGACACGTTACCCTCACATGTTTTCGACTCAGGAGTGCACTCAAACTAAAACAGAAACAAATACTGTACCTTACATGCTCGTTTTAACATTAGCCCTAGTTGGCGTGTTTGGATGATGAACTCTTAAAGCCTTGGACTGCGGACTGGGGAATCTGTTGGGGCTCATACTACAATTAACCCTTAAAATTCACAAGTGTCACCCAGGATGAGCACAGCATAATCTGATATCATCCCTTTCAAGTAAGTTCTGGCTACCTGCGATGAAAGTTCTTTATGCGTATAACTGCAGTCCTCATCTGCAGAACTGTGTGCGGAAACTTTCTACATGCAAATAATATTGGATCAGGGATCCGACAGGGAATGTAGAGCTAATGTGAATATAATTCATGTAATGAATTATTTATGTAACTGTGTTTTACTAGTATAGCTAAATCACTGAAATAACTCCAGACTTCTGAGGGTTAAATTGGGCTAGCTAGTTTGACATGCATGCAAGGTATGCTGATTTTCCTTAGCAGTGTTTCAGTGTAAATGTATGTTTGTAAAGGTGTGTACCTGTGGAATAAAGTTAGTGTATTCGGTTCTTTCGGTTCTTGCCTCCTTGTTGAAAACAGAGTAACGCAGATTTTCCGCAGCAGTGAGGTTGCGCAGAGCAGGCGTGTGTCTGTACACCTGTAAAGGGTTGCTGAACCTAAAAAACAGCTGGCGTTCTCCAGGAATCAAGTCAACCGGAGGGAACGTAAGGTTACCTGAGAACAGAAAAGATGGTCATATTAATTTCTATAGGCCTAATAGACTCAAACATCCTCAAACATATAGGATTTCGTGTGGACAAGGAAGTAATGAAGGGAGGCAGTGTCAAAAGATAGAAAGAGACATAAATATTCTCACATAAAACTCACAGTGAATGTCTGCATTTTGTAGAAGATTGAAAGAGAATTTCTTTGAATCTGCAGACGGTGATTCGTATTCGCCATCCCTGGCCTTTACTTCCACAAGGTAGTGATTGAACCCTGTATCCTGCAGCAGCTCCGATATGTTGCATTGATGACTACTTGTATTGATGAAAATGTCCGGAGACCTGCAGAGGACAGAGCAGTTTATTTATTTTCTTTTTTTAGAATATTTGAAAGGCTATGCATGTTTTTTTGTCCAAGAAGTCTGTTTTTACTGTTTGTCCTTTTTAAAAACCAGTCAAAATAATCAGTACAGTTCTTGATCACTGACATAATGCAAGAATTAGCATTAATATATAATTAGCATAGTGACAGCCTTACCTGACGCTAACTAACTCCTGCATATGACATAGGGCTGTATGATATGGACATACATGAAATGTTTAATAAAGTTCATTCTGGGCATAATGACCCTATTTTTTGTTTTTTAAGCAAATACCAAAAAAATCCATTTCAAAATTCCCATTTACTATTGTGCAAAGCACAAAATAAAAATAATAAAATAATAAAAAGCATGACTGCAAGCACATTTTTCATGCACTGTGAGGCTATTAGAATAGCAGCATTCCCTGAACAGCTTATTCTGAATACATATATTATTTCCATACAGGCTGATAAAATGAATACATATCATTTTAAATTATATAAACAAACCCAATTCCAAAAAATGTTGAGGCAGTAGGTAAAATGTGAATAAAAGCAGACATTTGTAAACTGTCAGAAATATTTAATTGAAAACAGCACAAACAAGACATACTATATAATATTTGACCTATATATTTACCCTGGTTTATCAACTTACAGCTTTTACAGCTTTTAATACAGGTTTTTGCAGACTGTAGGTGGTACACCGCCTTCAAAAATAAACTTTATCTACTAGGGTGCAGCCAACAACAGAGCAGTTCCTGTGCTTAGCTTATCGTTCTGACAGGTAGGGTGCTTGCGAAAAACAAATGGCACTTTTTCACAAATATAGTTCTCAAGCTGTGGAGATACTCAGATGGGGGGCAGTGTAATTCTCAGCCTGCACTTGAGTCAAATCTCAATGGCTCGTTGTATCCCATGTTTTCTGACCTGGAAGTCCACAAAAAACTGACTGGGTTGTTATTTCACAGTTTGGCAGACACTCCAGATACCCAAATTTATGTTCACAAGCACTGAAAAAGTTTTTATAATATGTCCCCTTTAAGACTCTATAATGCAAAGCCATATATCAACAATATCCGGAAACGTCGCCAACTTCTCTGGGCTAAAGCTCATCTGAGACAGACTGATGCAAAGCAGAAATGTGTGCTGTGCTCTAATGAGTCCACCTTTCAAATTGTTTTTGGAAATAATGGACATTGTATTCTCTGGGCTAAAGAGGACAACTATCATCCTGACAGCTCAAAAGCCACCGTCTGTCATGGTATGTGGGAGTGTTAGTGCCAATGGCATAGGTAACTTGCACACCTGTGAAGGCACCATATGCTGCCATCTAGACGACGTTTTTTTCAGAGACGTCCCTACTCGTTTCAGTAAGACAATGCCACTTAACATTTTGCATGTTACAACAGCATGCCTTCACAGTAAGAAAGTATAGGTGCTAGGCTGTCCTGTCTGCAGTCCAGACCTGTCTACCATTGAAAATGTACAGCATGTTATCAAGCGCAATACTCGACAATGGAGACCCTGGACTGCTGAGCAGCTGAAATGTTATATCAAGCAAAAACGGGAAAAAATTCCACTTTGACAACTGCAACAGTTGGTATTCTCAGTTCCTATACGATTACAGAACGTTGTTTAAAGGAAAAGTGATGTAACATAGTGGTAAACACACCCCTGTCCCAACTTTTTTGGAACATGCTGCAGGCATTACATTTACAACAAGTGTATATAAATAAAGTTAATTAGCAAGTAATTAAAGTTAGTTATTAACAATAAAATTAATTAGATGAAGCTCCTTACAGTGGTGCAGGTTTGTTGAGACAGCATTTTTTTTTTTTTGCTTTACATATTTGAAGCCATATTCAAGCTGGATTAGTTTTAACTGGGGTGGTTCTATAATTTGAGAGGTTACAGAAGCGCCCTGATTTAATCCAGCAATATAAAGTCTGCTAAATAACATCTCTGTAGCAAATCAGAATCATCTTCAATAATCTGTCAAACACAGAGCTCCTTCGGTAATAGCATTTCTGGTTCAAAGAGCTCAACATAAGACTACTGTGATCTAGAAAATTTTTGTTGGTCTAATTAGAAGGAGAATGAAATGGAATATCTTGAAAATACTTCTCACTGGGCAGTGCAATAAAAATATGATTCATCATGCAGCTTATGATTTTGAAAAAAGTTTGGCTACATTAATGAGAGTTGCTAGACACTTGCCGATACCTCTATTTATAAAACGTAAGAAGTTTCCATGAGGTACATTATACATTAGTGGAGTGTCAAACTTACGGATTGTTTGAAATCAGTCGTAGAGTGAAGGAAGCATTTTCACTGAGACCTGAGGAGGTCCAGGCCACCACTACACCATAACTGTCACATGTTATAGTCACATTGGAAGGAGCCGGGAGTGCAAACGAAGAACCTGAAAGACAGAATGAGAGAGGGAGATGAAACAAAAGAAGAGAGATAAGCCACGTTAGCCAAGGATGTTTACTCCATCCACAACTGTGTTTTCGTAGCAACTAAATCAACTTCATAAAATACCAGCCGAATAAAATGTTACAACTGAAATAAATTATACCTTAGTTTTTGTCAAACTATGTATAGTATTAACACCAGACCACTACAATGTTTGTTTAGAGTGGTTCCTGTGGAGTTTCCAGCTACACTACTGAGCTGGACTGGTTGTTTTAGCTTATCAAAAACAGTCAGGTTGGAGGTGACAACAATTTGCTGACATGCTAACATTAACTTGATTACATGATGACAAAAAAACCCCTAAAAAATCTGATCTGCTTTAACCTTTCACAAGCGTATAAAACACAACAAATTAATTATGCATTGTAGAACAATGTAGTTTGACAAAAAACTGGGTTGATGGGATTTTTGACAAAGTTTGTCCAACCTAAACCTACAGAGCTCAGACAGGTCAACTCATGTCATTCGTATTCAGTGACTGCGTTTACACGCACTCAATAATCCGATCATAATCAGATTTATGCAGTTATCCGATTATTCTGAGGGTCACGTAAACACCGTACTCCTATCTAGAAATCCGATTTAAAAATCTGATAAAGAGAGCTGGATTTTAGCTCCATACTCAGATATCTCAGTGCATGTAAACTCTTACTCTGATTTCTTTCTGATCTTGCATGTGCAAGGCGTTATGTTTACTTCACATCTTCTTCTGTGAGTTTATTGGTTGGTTGCAAAGCAGAAATCTGATTACTGTCTGAGTCATGTAAACCCAGAGTTTGCCATTATCTGATTACTCAAGAGCATGTAAACATGATCAGATTACTGACAAAATCTGATTTTCTGCACTTATCAGATTATTAAGTGCATGTAAACACACTCGATGTCTCAGGCACTCACTTATGATCAGTTGCTCCTGAGGATAAAGAAAAACTTTCCCCTTTAAATGGCCAGGGCCCACTAGCAGGCCCAGAGTTTTATTACACACTTCTACAAACTAAGAATAGCTCAACCAGTTTGCATTGAAGTCACTGTAGTTACTGAATAATAAGCCTTAGTATGTAATAAACCCGGGATTTTAAGGGGTTAAATTGTTTGGTACCACTTTAAGCAAAAAAGCTCATGTTTCATTTCTACAGCAGATGAACACTCTTACAACACATATTCCTCGACAAATGCCCATATGAGGGAATTTCTCAGCTTCATACCATACATTCTGAGGCACAACCTCTCCGCTAAGAGCTTTTTCTATGTGGACTTGTACAGAGACACTATAGCATAGCAAAGTGGGCGTGCAAGAGAGAGAGAGATCGGATTGGTGTTTACAGGCAAGCATGAGTGGCATTTAGACCAGTTTCTCTAGTTCTAAGCACTGAAGTCTCAATAATTTCACGCTGTCATTCTCTGCCTTTTGGTGATCCGTGAAGAGCAGAACTTGGAGCATGTTTGAGCATACAGCTTAAGGCAAAACTACAGTGAGTTGCCAGTTTTTTTAGGTACTGAAGCCTGTTTTATTAGAAACATGTCACCTAAGTGCACTTTGCAGGTTTATAGTTACACACTGTAGCTCATCTGTTGGTACACAATTCATCATGCGCCTGTCAATGGAAGGAGACCTCCACAGTACCAACACTGACCCATTATTATTTCGTAGGGATGCAAATTGGAACTGTCCTTTTTTTTTTTTAAATTGACCACTGGTCCTGTACTAAAGGTTCCAGCTGCTTGATTTTTGGCACCTGCTCAAAACCGATGCCAACAGTCCTTGATGAGTTCTCCTGTGTCTTTGTTAACACTTGCAGCTTCCAAGTGAAGATAAAGGCCCAATCCCGTTTCTTATTTTTACCCCTATCCCTTGTTTCCGAGTGCCACCTTGCCCCTTAGAACTGAGTTACAAGGAGTAGTGGTTGAAATCTTCCCATACGAAATGGGACATCCGTTAAATAAGAAAGAACATCACTCCACCAACAGGCCACTAGCGCTGCTCTGTAGGCGACCCTGCCAGTCTGCAGTGACAGCAGAGGAGGGTAAAGTTCAGCTCCTCACTGCTGGGCTTTAGATACATTTAGGGAACGATATGCCTTCAGAGAGGGGGGATGCGACAATTATTTCTTATTGCCCACCCCTAATTCTTTGATGAAACGCACCTTTGCCAGATTTGTGTTCGAATTTTAAATGGAGCAGCAGTTACATTCTGATGCTTCAGCTCACTACGAGACATTAGCATACTATTAGTGATTTTTTGTGCTTGTTATGAAGAAAATGAACAAAATACATTAATAAACAACATTAAACTAAGATAATATGATGGTGGTCTTAATTTTAACGGAGAAAATACTCACATCTGTGAGTTTCTTTGGTCGCTTGCACAGCCATCTTGCCGTTTTTTTTCCTTTTTCTCTCATATCACTCCAATTGCCCCTGAAAAACCTCCATTTGGAGGGTCATGTAGCTCTAACACTTCACCCTACCCCTCTATTTCAACAACAATCATGACACCCTACTCCTAGACATGAACGCACAAAACAGAGGGCTTAGGGCTAAGTGGTAGGGGCGCGGGGTGAAATGGGATTGGGCCAAAGTCTCCAAGCACTGTTACATGACCAATCAGTGCCCCGAAACGTATGCTAGAACGGCACGTTGACTGCTATTTTTTAGAATTATTACTTTGTAAGGCGTTTGCTAAAGTGAGATAAGCCTGTTAGAATGCAAACGTCCATAGAACGAATGTTTTTGATTTTACACCTATAGAAAAAAGTGTAACCTTTGCTAGAATTTATACGATTCTGTATAACTGCAGACATTTCTGTGAGTGTGTTTGTGCAAAGAACAGCTCAGTGTATAATTTCATGTCAGCATGTAAGTTAAGCCAGCAAGCAAGGCAGTTAATTAGCCAAATTAGGCATCAAAAAAATATGACATCAAAAAGGAAATTAACATTAAATCAATTATTATGATGGTTCCAGCCGCCTCAACCAGGTGGAAAATGAATAAGAACTAGAACTAGAACCAGACGACCATTAACAGATGAGCTATTAACTCCAAAGGTACTACAGCAAGGTGGAGCTACAAGAGAGGAGTTTCTAATCAATGTAATAAACACAGAAACATTCAGTTGAAAAGCTTCTTCAGAATGGCAGGTCTACACGATTATGAACAGGGTTCCCAGAAAGAGTTCGCTGGAGTGAGTCGTATATTTTAATTCCTTGACTCTGTGATTCATCTAATTGTTTCTCTGCCAGAAGTTTAAAAAGTGGGCTTACTATGAAGATTAGGAAATCTTGACTTCCTCAGAAATGCCCATCAGCCTGAGGCGTTTATGCAAGACGCTGCTGCCTCAGTTAAGTTCAGATGAAGAATGTGTACGCAAGCAGAGGAGGAGCAAAACCTGAAAGATCAGGTTCTGATTTACTGTAAACGGGCTGTAGTGTTTTGGTTTTAGACACGCTGTTCGGGAACAGTAGTTGGATCCTTGCAACTAAACGTAACCAAACCAGTGAACATGGTCACTTAACAGACTGGTGTTTTCACCACACTGGACTGAACTCAAATGTTAGTGTAATTAAATCTATTCAATCCTGAACACAAGCTTAAGCCAAAAAATGTAATCTATCCTGACTGAAAACGAAACCACAAGCATAATTGTGACCCTAGTCAATTACATGAATAAACATATTAGCAAACAAGCAAATGTGTTTTCTTTTGAAGCAGACAGTCATCACTTACTGAAGTGTTTCTGTTTGCTAGGAAAATTTGGCAACCAGTTACATTTCCTTAGCTTTATGGACTTTGAAATCCACTGAAAACTGTGCTAATCAATCAATCAATCAATCAATCAATCAATCAATCAGTCAACCTTTATTTAATCTCGGAGGACATTGAGGGTGACCCTGATTTACAGTGTTGCAGAGATGATACAGGATAAGGGATTGATAATGTGTAAGAACATATCAAATAATAAAAGTAAATAAATAAAAAAATACAGTAGAAAATATAAAACAATAATTAAAACGTAGCTAAAATGTAAAAGTTTATAAAATCAAATCAAAATAAAATAAAAAGAAGATCAAAAAGTAAACTAAAAATGAATTAAAATGACTAAAATAATAAAATAATCATAATTAAAATAAGAATATGTTTATGAATAATAGTAAATAAACAAACAAATAAATAATAAAATAATGAAAACAGGACAATAATAGAAAAAGAAATCTGGTAGAACTGTTGCAGACAGAGTGGAGGTGGTCAGAGAGTAAAGGTTTAAAATGACTGAGTGACCCAGTGAGCTGAGCTTGAGCATTTCCTGTAGTGAGTTCCAGTTCGATGGTGCACTGGAACTAAAAGCAGATTTTCTCAGTTCAGTAAAAACCCTCGGTACCTGGCATGTGATCCAACCACTGGAGCGTACTTGATTTGTACTTGAGTATTTCCAAATGATAACACTTTTACTTGCATTTAAATGCATTAATGCATAATCCACTGTTTCCTTAGCTACATTTTAGTGACCAGCACTGATTGATTCAACTGGGTTAAAATTCTTTCTGTTCTGTTTGTGCCCGTCACCTGTACTGCTTTGCTGCTTTAGCATTTGATTATAGACTAAAAGGATCCCAAACAGATACAGAAAAGTTCATATGCTGAGAGACGCTGTATGTATTTAGAAGCAGCAAAACCTGAAAGGTTAGTTTCTGATTTACTGTAGATGAGCTGTAGTGTCTTGTTTTCACACACACTGTGCGGGAAGTTGGATAATTACGACTAAATGTAACTGAATAATAGCCAATCTGGGTCATATAACAGACTGTGTTATAGGTACTGAGTGCCTTGAGAACACATTGCCTACATAACACTTCTTTACTGCAGGGAGGATCTGAGCTCCTCTGCCTACCTCTGTGTGTGAAGTACAGAAATACCAGCACTAAATCTGAAGTGCGCACACAAAGAAACCAGTCGTGTGTGTGTGTACGTGTGTGTGTGTGGGCACCGAAACTCCACAGCCTGAAGAACTACATCCTACATCCGTGTGTATTCATTTGTTTTTTTTTGTTTTTTTAGTAGCTGCCCTGCCCTGTTCATACCTGCTGAATGATTCCCAGGCTTACAAAGAGACAGATAGACAGACAGACAGACAGACAGACAGACAGACAGGTAGATAGACAGATAGACAGACAGACAGACAGACAGACAGAAAGACATACACATAGATAGAAAGTCAGATGTACAGGCAGCCAGATAGACAGATAGATAGAAAGACAGACAGATATACAAATACATAGATAAATAGATAGATAGACAGATCGATAGACAGACAGATCAATAGACCGACAGACAGACAGATAGACACATAGAGAGATAGAAAGATAGATAGATAGATAGATAGATAGATAGACAGACAGACAGATCAATAGACCGACAGACAGACAGATAGACACATAGAGAGATAGACAGATAGAAAGACCGACAGACAGACAGACAGACCGACAGATACAGACATACAGACTGATAGACAGATAGATAGACACATAGAGAGATAGACAGATAGACAGACAGACAGACCTACAGAGAGACACAGATAGATAGACCTACATATAGACAGACTGACTGATAGACAGATAGACAAACCTACAGATAGACACATAGATAGATAGATAGATAGATAGATAGACAGACACATAGAGAGATAGATAGATATATAGATAGATAAATAGATAGATAGATAGATAGATAAACAGATAGACAGGCACATAGAGAGATAGATAGATAGATAAATAGACAGACAGACAGATAGATAGACCTACATATAGACAGACTGACTGATAGACAGACAGACTGACAAGCCTACAGATAGATAGACACATACACAGATAGATGCTGTAGACGCTTTTTGAAAGGGGTTCTATGTAGCACCAAAAAAGGTTCTGGTATTGTTACGAAGTCAAGCTTGTAATAATCGCAGAACCCTTTTGGTGCTATACTGAACCCTTTCCAAAAAGGTTCTACACAGAACCATCTACAGCACAGCTTCTCCATCAATCTGAAGAACGCTTTCACAACATTAACCCCTGCAGTTGTTCTTCTGAGTGTTTAAGGTTCTATATAGAACCATCTTCTTGACTAAAGAACCCTTGAAGAACCGTCTCTTTTGAAGTGTGTAGATGACGTCTGATCTCTCATAGCAAACGCTGTTCAACTGTAAATCAACGTAAGCCACTGACATCACAGTTTAGACCATTAGGACTAAGACCAGGCAGTGCGACCAGGATCGCTGAACGGCTCACAGCCTAGAAAAGCACCTTCGTGTTTTGAGTCCTCCGACTGTTTCTTATCTCAAACCATAAAGCTTTTTACGACAGTTAATGTGTCACCTCCGCACACTTTGGCCTCCCTTCACAGAGTGTAAGACCATGAACGGCGGGTCTAAAACAATGTCTAAACCGTGGACCTGGACTGAGACCACAGGGAATCCAGCCTTTTACGCCGCGTTGTGGGGCAGAATAAATGGAAATCCCAGCACGGAAAAAACCCTTATAGACAGTTTTATGGCTTCTTATAATAAGAAGCAGATACAGATTCCGGTTAATGTCAGTCAAAGCCCTCAGTTTTAAAGCCACACATACAAAATTCAGATCAATTTTCCTTCTAAAAAGCGTGTTTTTAGATGGAGAAACAGAACCTCGGTTCCACTCACCGACTGTGAGGCCACTCAGGAGCAGAGCAGTGAAGACGGTGACACCACTGAGCTCAGCCCGCATCGTTCACCGCTCAGAAATCCTCTCCTACAGTTCAGTCCAAACCCCAGAACAACACCGAGCCGTTTCAGGTGTGAAAGGCCGTCATATAAGCCTCCTGTCGGCTCCGGGCTGAGGCTGAGGCTGAGCGGCGCTGCTGCTCTGTGGAAACGCGGAGCCGTTTCTTAGCGACTTGTTGGAGCGAAGTGACGCGCGCGTTTCCTCCGTTTCCTTCCGAGCCCTGTATAAATAGCCGCGTGCTCAACGGTCGTCTTGGAACTGAATGACAGTTTAGAACGTTTTCAAAACGGCATGTTTTAAGAAAACGGCGTTCCAAACGTTTGAAGTGTTCGAATACAAATTTAAACCGATTTCTTCCACCGAGCCGTTCAGGTAAAGACGCGCTCTGAGCCTACCTGAGCGCACGTGCCCTGGGGAGGAGCATGTTTCACCGCCGATTCCAGGTCCGTTGGCGCCCCCTGCCGGCGTCCACCCGCGCTACGCTGTGGAAAGAAAGCCAGGGGGAGTTTTTTTTAGGGTCGAATTGCCTTTGAAGCTCGCTTGTATTTCAGTTCCACCCACTCACTTCATTCATTCACTCGCTTACTCACTCTCTTTCTCTGTTTCACTCCCTCACGCTCTCATTCTTCACTGCCTAATTTACCTACTGACTCACGCGTTCTCTCGCATTCTCTCACTCATCTGTTCTCACTCCCGGCTTTGTTTCACTCTTACTCACTCACCGGCTTTTCACTCACACCTTGTATCACTCGTTCGATCACTCTCTCTCACTCATTTTCTCCTTTTTCACTCCCTCGTTCACTCACTCTTGCTCTCTTTTCGCTCACTCGCTCGCTCTGATTCACTTTTTCAGTCACGTGCTCACGCTGTTTTACTCAGTCTGACTCACTCTCTCACTCTCTTTTCCTTTTACACTCTCATTCACTAACTCCCTCATTTACTCACTCTCACTCTCTTTTCACCCACACTTATATACTCACTCATTCACTCACCCACACTTATATACTCGCTCACTCACTCACTCACTCACTCACCCATGCTGATACACTCACTCACTCACTCACCCACGCTTATACACTCACTTAGTCACTCACTTAATCACTCACCCACGCTTATACACTCACTTAGTCACTCACTTAATCACTCACCCACGCTTATATACTCACTCACTCACTCACCCACGCTTATACACTCACTTAGTCACTCACCCACGCTTATACACTCACTTACTCACTCACTTAATCACTCACCCACGCTTATATACTCACTCACCCACTCACTCACTCACCCTCGCTTATATAGTCACTCACTCACTCACCCACGCTTATATACTCACTCACTCACTCACTCACATTCTCTTTCACTTACTCTTTCACCTGCTTTCTTACACATTCGACCGTTCACTCATTCATTGTCTTCACACACTTGGTCACTCTTTCATTCATTTAGTCTCTCACTCTCTCTCACTCTTAGTCACATTAAACATTAGAACAGCCTAATAAACGCTAAAAATAAGCATTAAAATAAAGTAAGTATTGTTAATGTTGTTCGTCATGAATCATGAACTGAATGTGCAATAAAGTGCTGATCATAAAAACCATAAAAAATATTTATTGAACATTATTAACACTGCAAGGGCAGTTATTTTTCTGCAGCCCACCATTATAATCTCTTAGACTGTCCCTCAGTTCTGTCACTTTGCATACCATGTTGAGTTGCTCAGTAATCTCAAATAGAGCTGCTCATGTGGTTTCTGGCACTGTTTGACCCACTGTTATCTACACAAATGAATAAAGCGTGCTGCATAACTAACAGTAGCAGCAGCCTGAATGTTCTCTGTACTGCCCATTTTTTTAGACAGTATAATGTATTTTAATGTTTAATGATACAGCATTTATACATTACTTGTTGGATTCATTAGCCTTGTAGCTCCAGTGCCAAACTAAGGAAGACAACTTCAGAAACCAAGTTCACTGTTTCAGTTCCTTTTTTAAACATGTCCTTACTCACTTCGACTCATCACTGGGATGTGCCCATGTTACACAAGTGGTTGCTCACGGCAGAAGGGGAGGAGTGGACGGCGAGGAGCAGATGATTCAAAAGCAATGCACTCACCTTAGCAGGTTAGCCTCAGTGCGCTAATCGGTTAGTCGTGCAAACTTGCAATTCAAATTGTTTTTCTGAGAAGTTTCAACATGACACACAAAAAATTGTCTGGCTATAGACTTTGGTGTAGGACTGTGGCATAGTTCCTGCATTTTGTTGCTAGCCATGTAGCCTTTAGCATGCTAACTAGCCAGCCAGCAGAGTAAAGTGATGAAGTTGAATCATCAGGTATAAGAGACAGAGCGGATTGCGACCTAAAACCCAGCTAATTACTAATAATTTGTGGTTTTGAAATTTTATTGTTAATGTTAAAGTAGTTTATGGCTCATGAACAGCTTTGTCTATCAATACTTTAAGTGTTCACTGGAACCTTTGGCCTGTCAGGGATTCCCCCAAGTGAACAAAGACTTGCTACAACTGGTTTTGAAACGGGCAGCAAACCTGTTTCAGTTGATTAATTACATCCTGGACAAGTAGAAACTGGTTTAAATTTCATTTTTTGCCAAACAATTCTTTTAAAGTTTCTGATTCATTGTTACCAAGTAAAAGCTCCCTCTGGATAATCAAAGATTATCTTACTTGACTACATACACTATCTGTCCAAAAGTATCCAGACGCTCCCTCTATTTAGCGAATTAAGTTAATTTATGCCGCACCATTTACTGACACAAGCACACCCCATACAACTTGTTTAATCTCCATAGAAATGCACTGACCACAGCTGCACATGAGCTTAGGGTCAGCAGCCCAATGCTGAGCCCCAGTGGAACTGTGTTCTCTGGAGTGATGGTCCTCCATCCAATACCTTTGGGATGAGCTGGAGTGTTCAAGAACTATTCATCCAGCATCAGTACCTGACCTTACTAATGCTCTTGTGGCTGAATGCAATCAAATCTCTCACAGCAATGTTCCATCATCTAGTTTAAAGCCTTCTCAGAGGAGTAGAAGCTGTTACTGCAGCAAAGAGGGACAAGCTCCCCATTAATACTCTTGATTTCAAAAGAAATGGATGTGTCTACAAACATTTGGCCATATAGTGCATCTATGTGATAATTAATGAAATACCATCATCATTCCTTTCAATAATGAATTAGTCTGGATCTGCTGTTGGATTTGATTCTATAAAGCATGTTCATGAATAATCTTGGGGTGATGGACTGGTTCTGATTCGACAGAAGGTTTCCATGGCGCTCCTGATCCCACACTAAGCTGCTGCGTCTCCTTGGCCTGTGTGAAGAAGATTACGTGCCGGGTCAGTATAGACGACCTCTTTACCACCATGACACTGGATTTGAAGTTCACTGCATCTGTTATGTAATATGCATCACAGCAGGGATTGACTAAAAACTAGGTTTTGTGTGCGTGTGTGTGTGCGTGTGTGTGTGTGTGTGTGTGTGCACCCGAGCATGCGTGTAGTTCTCTTACTGTAAAACACTGTCTTAACCCTTGTGTGGTGCTCAGGTCTGTGGGACCCATTTTCAATGTTTACCAAAAGAAAAAAATACGCGATTTATTATTATTTCAACCTCAGATTTCGTGGTCTTTGCTCATTTTCTGTGAAGAACATATAAAATAACCCATTTTCAGTGCCTTCACTCTGTTCACCCCCCACCACATTTATATTACACATGTGGTGTTGGGTGAACCCGCAGAGAATAAAAGTGTGGAGGTGCTGAGTCCTTTAGTCTGTTCTCCTCCTACATGGCCTGCTGTTAGTGTGTGTGTGTCTGTGTGTGTATGTGTTTGTATATGTGTGTGTGTGTGTGTGTGTGTGTGTGTGTGTGAGGGGGGACAACATGGACAGGCTGCTGACTGGCTACAGCTGCTAAAGGAAAACCCAATGCTGGATATTTTAAACATCTGGTCTTTTTACATAAATTGTTATGGCTGTATTGATTTAAAAAACAAAAATGCGGTGGGTCCACCAGACCACTGAGTAACAACAACATCGACACCACACAAGGGTTAAAACACACAAATTGCAATGATTCAACATAACAATAATAATGATAACATGTATTTATATACATTTATATTAAGTTTGAACACCCCTGGTCAAATTACACGTTTTGTTGATTTTCTAAGTGAAAGTAAGACGTCCTTTACAGAGAACAGTATTAGAGAACAAACTTATATATGACATTTTTCTGCTATTTTTAGTGCACGGTTTCTATTTACTTGCTGATGTTAAGGCTGCACTGCTTTAATACTTAATTGAAAGAAGAAGCATTACTGAGTCAGAGGAAAGTAAAACACTAACTTGGCTGATTTTTTAGGTCTCAAATGCAAAAATCAGCATCATACTGATAAAGATATGATGATAACAGTGGATTATTCACTCACATCCTCAGAAGACACGGCCTTCACCAAGTTTTGACTGAGTTCTCTTTGAATACTCTTTTGAATACAATGCGCTCGCAATCATCAGATTCATCCGCTCAGGGAAGGGGTCCGAAGCACAACCCACATTACAAAACATTCTTCCACATTTTGCATGCAATTACAAATTTCCACCAGAGAGGTCTCCAAATCCCCAAAGCGTACACAATGCAGCTTCAATGTATTGGGGGAAAAAAACCAAAAAAAAAAACCCCAGAAATTATCAAATGTGCCATAACTTTTGCACAGGCGACATTTTATGCTTTATTTTTTTCCAGCATGTTATTTCAGCAAATAAACAGTAACTGTATATTAAAACGTGCAGGAGTGTGTTCTCTGTAGAGGATGTCTTAACTTACTTTCACTTATAAAAACAACAAAATGTAGTTTGATCAGGACGCACAGACATTAGCATACGATTGTACACTACAGTTCAGTGGTTTAAGTTACTTGTAATATTAGTAACTGCTGTTGTTTTATTGAGTAATAACTTAAACACCAGTCACCAGAAAGAAAACGTTTTATTAAATATTAAAGCTTTTTGCCCTGAGCTGTAATCACCTCATTTCAAATATGAGGCATTTTGTATGTTAATCTTATTATAACTTTGTTCTCGATTACATTATGCAGATTTCTCACTCATTATGAAATTATGAAATCATCTACAAGTTCATCTTTCTGAACTCATCTAGCATATCTTCATATTTTACAGCTTCCTAATTAGTTGGAATCTGTTATTAGATATTAGAATCATTTTATACCACAGTGTGTGCAAAAGTTTTGGCACCCCTGTTGAAATGACATGTTTTGTTCATTTTCTGAGTGAAAATAAGTGAACATGAGATTTGATTCGGGGCCATTTCTATTGGTCCATTCATCATGAACCCTTTATGTATTAAAAAGGTCAGCTGGACTGGGCTGCACCAGGTTTATG